GCTGGCTGTGGGGTGGTAAACATCTTGGAACAAGCAATGCTTTCAGGATTACAGCCTTGGCAGGAGAGTATGAAAAGTAATTCTTGGGAAGCCGGGCCTTGGTGGCAGCTGCTTCTCCTTAGCCTGCCTGCCAACCCTTACAGGAGCTTGGGATGGACAGAGTTCTCAGCTGGGCCTACTGTGGCTGTTGCTGGTAGTTTTCCACTCTGGGAAACTGGAAGTGTCTGTTGGTTTCTCCGTCAGGAGACTGGTGGGTAGCGGAAGCACCCAGAAACCACCAAGACAACTCAGCAAGCAAAGTGTTTGCTTCAGCGACTCCAGCTTCCTGTGACAGGCCTGTCCTCTTTACATGTGTCTTTATATTTCAAGGTGTGGAGTGAACAGGGGAGTGGGGTCTGGTGAAAGAGGCTTGTGAGGAAGAAAGGGGTCTGACGGTTGGCACTGGAGTCAGTGCTACAGTCCGAGTCTTCCCTAGTAACTGGGATCCCTTCCACGAGTTACCCAAAATAGGCACATTCAATAGGAAAACCACACGGGGGCTGCGGAGAAGTGCCACGTTGGGTTCCCTGGGCCAAGGCCTCTTCTGGTTCCAAAGACCCAGTGGGATGCGAAAGGCCATCCAAGATCAGCTTGTCCTTTTCCTCTGCCCTTCCTGTGGGGGCCCCGGTAACACTGAGTCACAGAGAAACCCTGCTTACATGTTTCATTGCTGCTTTACAAGCTTTTGTCTCTGAATTCTGTTTTTTAAAACTTATGTTCTTTGGTTCTGATTTCTAGATCTATAGCCTAACTCCCATTGTCTGGGGATGGATGGAACTTTAGCTGCTCCTTATCAGTGGTTTCAGTTGTCTGGAGTCAATCACAGTCTGGAAATATTAGATGGACAAAGTCTGAACTAATCCACAGATTTTAAATGCAGTGATTGGGGCTCACACGACGAAATCCTGGCTCCTCTCCCTCCCTCCCTCTCTCTGCCTCCTTATGTAAGTCCTGTGTCATCTTGGGAAGAGTGAGTGCTGTTCAGTAAGTTGGGAGGCAGGATGAAGAGATGGCTCAGTGCTTAAGAGACCTTGCTGCGCAGCTGAAGATCTGTGTTCAGATTCCGGCACCAACATAGCAAGCCCTGCATCCCACAGCTGTCTGTAATACTAGCTCAGAGAGATTAAACACCCTTTCAGACCTCAGTGCATACAAGTACATGTACCTGCATACACAGACACATAAATAAAATAAACGCTTAAAAAAGGTGTGAGAGAGCATCATTCACATAACTTTTACCATGGAATACCATAATTGTTCTATTTTATCATTAATTATTGGCTGTCTTTACTATGCTTAATTTCTAAGTTGAGCATTGTTATAGGTATGCACACACACACACACACACACACACACACACACACACATATATATATATATATATATATATATATGCAAGCCCTATGTATAGGACTTGGTACTTTCAGTTCTTTTAGTCATCCATTGGAAAATATCCTGTCTTAATAAATGGGAATCTACTGTGACACTTGGGGCCCAGCACTTACTCTGGCTTGATCTGAGTGTTCACATCATGGCATAGAACAAGATTCCTGCTATCGCTCAGGCCTATAATCACTGGAGCCTCTTCAAACTACACTCGAGAAGGTCTTCCTCAGTGAATCTTGGTAACTGGTTATCCAGTATCGCTGACTAAGACCTGTGCTGTGGCTTTTCTTCTCCTAACCATAATCTGCCCGCCCCTCTGGTGAACTTTGACCCTGCCTGCTGAGAGGCAGCTGGGTAAGCTACTGCTTCACAAAAACTTGTTGAACCCCACAGATGGTGACTCACTGGGAGTTTCTGAGCTAGAAATTAATCCTCTACTTCTCTCCAAGATCTAATGCTCAATTTGTTGTCTCTATTCTTCTGCCTCTCAACTCTTTCTTACTTACCTCTTTGCCCAATGTGTGTTGAATACCTAATCAGTACTGTGTGTTGGCAGGTGTTGAAAGGGGCCAGGAATCCAACATGAGTACTATGCTCAAAATTGCTTGCAGTCTCAACAAGGAGATAGAGGTATGAGTGTCATAGAAAATCCACGATGAAAGTTATTTCCTAAAAGAATCTGTTACTTTTATCCTGATATCATACTTTAGTATTTTTGATAGCTTTGTTAGACTCTGTGAAACAGTGATAGCCACTGTCAAGTAGACAAGCAACTTGTGTCAGTCTGATTTCTGAAGATTATCATCTTACCTTTGTCACTTGGGCCAGAATGGAGGTCTATGAGAGAAATCATTTTCTGTGTCTTATTCAGTACTGACCAGTTATATAAATACAAGCAGACTGGTTAATGAGCACATTTGTTAACTCAATACACGGATAGATAGATTGTAGTGACTGGGGCTCACATGATGAAATCCTGGCTCCTCTCCCTCCCTCCCTCCCTCCCTTCCTCTCTCTCTGCCTCCTTATGTAAGTCCCGTGTCATCTTGGGAAGAGTGAGTGCTGTTCAGTAAGTTGGGAGACAGGATAGAGAGATGGCTCAGTGCTTAAGAGATGATCAGACTTACAGGGAAGCCTTTTCTACTTGTTGTCTGGGTGCACATTATGAGTCAAGGTTTCTCTTGGCTGAATCCCCACAACTTTGTCTTTAAGCCTCTGGGAAGAACTCAGCAGTCCTCTGACACCTCACAGCAGAGAATCCTACATGGTCTTTCTCTGTCACTCCCCCGTCTGCCTGTCAGACATACTTCAACTCTCTTTTATTTCATTTTTTTCCATCTGTTCAATAGGGAACAATTCCTGCATGGAGTTAATTAGGATATGACATAAAAAGGATCCCCAGGAAATACAGTCTTACTTGGATGTGTTGTAGAGGCAGCAGCAGCTTCAAATGTCTTGGTTGTTGTCCCAAGGCCCAGCAGGCCCCTTAGTGAGAAGTTATTTATGATAATTCCATGACTCACCTTGTTGGCTCTGCTTTCCCAATGTCTGGCTTACCTCACATGTCCCAGAGTGCAGAGGTTCTCATGATGTGTACAGCCCAGCATCTGGAGATGTGTGATGGATGGGACTGGAAGCCTACTGACTGGGGATGATCTATTCTGTGGCTGCCAGCATGACCCCGGAGCATTGTTCTCTGTCCAGGATGGATGAGATCTGGGAACAGAGCTCTGAGCCCAAACCCACAGCACACTAACTCTGGGTCTTTATTAACATGCAATTCTCAGATTTGGCTTCAGATACACTAGAGTTACTATCTAAGATCTTCAAATGCATGCAGCACCTTGCAACAGGCTGAGGACCAAATGGAGCAGAAAAAGCGAAGGTGGAATTAGCTCTTGCTCAGTTTGACTTTTCTTGGGTGGGTGTTCTTTTTTTGATGTTGGCCGTTGAGAGTGCACTTAGGCTATTCAGGCTTTGGACACAAAGGGCTTCCAGACCTTCAGCCTCAGATGAGAGCTGCATCACTGGCCTCTTCTTCCAAGGTTTTAATGTTCTGAGACTTAGACTGAGCAACCCCTAGTCCCTTTTTCTCAGCTGCTTGCAGATGGCCAGAGGAACCATCCCACCTCTGATCCTGTAAGCCAGTCTAAGAAACCCCCTATGTGTGTGGGTTTTATGTATAACACAAGGGTCCAGTTTCACTTTTGGGTATGTGGATGCTCAAATTTCCCAGCACGTTGGTTGATTCCCCTCCCCCATGCATTTTTTTTGGCACTTATGTTGAAAACCAGTTGACTTATAAGTGTGAGATTATTTCTGGGCTCCCCATTCTGTCTCACTGGTCTACACACACCCTAACCCCCCCCATAGGTGCACTAGACTGTTTTAATTATTTATTTGTGATATGTTTTGAAATCTAGACTCCTAATATCCCCAGGTCTGTTCTTTTGTAAGAGGGCTCTAGTTTTTGCAAGGTCATTTGTGGCTTCATGTGAATCTTACAATTCAAGAAAAATATTTCTCGGAAAGAAAATACTGTTGAAAATAAGCTCTTCCTCTTCCCTCCTCATATTGACCGCTTTCCCCTGCTTTATATGCCTGGTCACGTTTTATTGCACAGAACAGTGACTTCGAAGTATTCAAATTTCACTTGTTTTGTCTTTGTAACTCTGGAAGGTCCCACCACACTGCCTGTGTTCCCCCTCCCCTGCTGTAACTGGGTGCTGTCGGGGCAGTAGCCAGCTCATGTGCTGAGCCCCCCCCCCCCGTTTCCCATCTCTCAGAAGTGGGGGTCTTTTTTTCTGGTGCTCATTCTTTGAAAGCTGGGTTATTTCCCACAGGGGATTTCCTCTGTTCTATTTTATTCTCTCTTTGTTGAAAGTGGAGCCTACCCCTGAAACTCTTGTTTTTAGCTAGGACCCAGCATGCTCAATACTAAAACAGGGTGTTTTGGTTAATTTCTTTTCTTTCTTTCTTTTTATTTTTTGAGACAGGGTTTCTCTGCATAACAGCTCTGGCTGTCCTGGAACTCACTCTGTAGACATGGCTGACCTTGAACTCAGAGAAATCTGCCTACCCCTGCTTCCCGAGTGCTGGATTAAAGGCGTGTGCTACTACCGCCCTGCTTGGTTTATTTCACAATTTCATGTAGTCAGATCCCTAGAAAACCAGAGTGATGTGGCTCTTAGGGGTATCTGAGGGCTATAAGGATGATCTACTTGTAGGAAATCAATTCAATATGCAAATTTGCTAAAAAGGAACTAAAGATGGGCTACTGGGGTTATTACTCAATAAACTAAAAAAAATTGCATATTAAATTATCTTATGTTAGTTGCCAGAGTCTGGGCCAAAATGTAAGTTGGCTGTTGATTAAATCTTGGAGGTCTGCATGATATTTGGAGTTAGGGTTAGGAAGAAGTTTGCAGTAGAATGGCTGAGCTGTGGTCATAGAGAGATGTAGGAAGATTTCAGTTCCTCTATTTCCTGTCCTGTTACTGGTTTCAACCTTCCTGGGGACTCTGGCATAAAAATGAAAGCACACGTTTTGTTTTCTCTTCGTTTCCTTTGTCCAGCCATATGTCGCTATCCTCTGGGCATGTCAGGAGGCCACATTCCAGATGAGGACATCACAGCTTCAAGTCAGTGGTCAGAATCCACGGCTGCCAGATATGGGAGGTGAGGATGGCTGCATCAGGAGAGCCTGCGTGCTGGGGAAGCAGATGCATAGCCATGATTCGAGATGCTGGTGGGGAGGCATGGTGTTGGTGAGAACTCAAAGTGACTGGGAGAGAGACGTGAGGGGCTTGTGCTGCTTGGGATGTCTCAGAGGGAGGCCAGGCCTTGGCTGTAGCTGCTGGCTTGGAAACTTCTTCCCAACCACAGAGGCCGCAGAGCCACACCACCCACTGTGAATGGGGTCATTGATATGTAGTGGATCTGCTTTGCTTGACCTCACTGTGGATTGCTGCAGGAGAAAGGCCAAGGTACAGGGAGGTGTAGATAATGTAGGACACTGGCAGTGAGTGAAGCCTGCTTCTCAAGAGGTCCCCGGAATGTCACTACACAGAGCTTCGAGGGTTAAACCAGACGCTGAGGTTTCCAGTAAGTTCTTTCCTCCCTCAAGGAAACCTCACACAGAAGGGCCATCTTCATCTATAAACAGAGCAAAGTCTATGTGGTGCATGTAATTCCCAAGGTTCCCTAAATGAACAGACTCCCAGCTCAGAAACTATTCTGCTGACCGATGCCAACTCTTCCTGATTGAACCTAACTAATTATTTTAGTGTAAATTTAGTACCGATGCTGTTAAAATGGAATCACCCATAAGACCTTCCTCATATTTATCTTAGTGTTTGAGTGACTAGAGTGATGGCTGGTGGAGTTAGGGAGGAGCAAGAAAAGAGTAGGTATCATCTGTGAAGAAAGGGAGCATCCCAAGGAAGAGGGGAAAACACAAAGAGGGTGCCAAATAAACCTTAGAGTGATTCTGCATGCTGCTCAGTGCTAGCCCAGCCTGCGGGTAACAAATGAAATCAGGCATGGAATGCTTTCCACCCTCACGCCCACCTTCAGCACAGTTCCCATGGCTTTTACTGGGTGGCCATGCCCATTCTGCTGGCTGGCATTCCACTGCATTGCAAAGCCCACACTGGAGACCCTGCCATTCCTCCCTCCTCTCTCCCATAACTTGATACCCAAACCACTAGCTTTGTGAGGTTGAGGCTGAGACATGGAAGGGGCATGGCGAAAGAACTCCGTAAGGGGACAGGGGTGGAAAGAGTTTCACTTCCCTAGAGTTCTCTAAAAAAGCTAAAGGTTACATGTGCTATGAAAGCTCCCAGCTCCTTTGTGGTGACATTCCCGGGACTGTGTGGTGCTTTGGAGACAGGAAACTGACCACAAATGGGGGTGGTGAGGACGAAGAGACATACGGGGAGGTCCACAAGTCCCTCTGGACTAGACTGCAGTTTTCCACTCACTCCTCGGGCACAGCACAGCTGCTTGCTATGAGCTGGTGAGTGTCTCTTGTTTCACAGTTGTTCTCTTTCTCCTACCCATCCTTCTCAAGGCTGGACTCTGAAGAAGGAGATGGAGCCTGGTGCCCTGACAAACCAGTGCGACCCAATGACTTGAAAGAATTTCTGCAGATTGACTTACGTACCCTACACTTTATCACTCTTGTGGGGACCCAGGGACGTCATGCGGGGGGTCATGGCATTGAATATGCACCCATGTACAAGATCAACTACAGTCGAGATGGCACTCGCTGGATCTCCTGGCGTAACCGGCATGGGAAGCAGGTAAGAAGAAAATGTCCATGTTCTGGGGGGGACCTAGGACCATATGTTGACTTATGATAGAACTGTTCAAATGGACTATACTCAGTTATGTGAATGTTCAAATCTGACATGCCATTGTAAATGTGACCCAAGGTGCGGGAGATGGCACAGAGGATCTGTTAGCTTCGCTGGGAGAGTTGAGGGCATGTACTCTCCTCGCAAATGAAAAGCGAAGGCTCCATCAAATGCATGATGAGTGAAGGAAGGTGAGTATGGTTTTATACTATCTCTGCTTTTTCTCCTCTCTCTCCTAGGTGCTAGATGGGAACAGCAACCCTTATGATGTCTTCCTGAAGGACTTGGAGCCACCTATTGTAGCCAGATTTGTTCGCCTCATACCAGTCACTGACCACTCGATGAATGTGTGCATGAGGGTTGAGCTTTATGGTTGTGTCTGGCTAGGTAAGTCTCTACCGCAGAGATCTTATGTACCATATGGAAACTTCCAAGTCCTGGGAACTGAAAACCAGCCATCAACTCAGAAAGGGATAAGTCATTCATCCTTGGAATGAAATGACTCCCCTTTGGTTAAAAGAGAAAAATAAGCCATGCCTATTCACCCATGGTTTGGTGCCCTTGCCTAGAATGACATTCAGAGTTACTCAGATGACTGGCACTGAGGTGTGCTTCCAACAGTGCTCGACTATGAACCCAAATTGAGCCCCAGTGGACATGATGAATTACATTGAACAGCCCTGGAAGCTCAAGTAGCTTCTTGGGGCAATTGGTCAGGTAGCAGGCACATCTCCTTATCCGAGACTCTGACCACTGTGTTTCCTTTGGCAGATGGCTTGGTGTCTTACAGTGCTCCAGCTGGGCAGCAGTTTGTACTCCCTGGAGGCTCCATCATTTATCTGAATGATTCTGTCTATGATGGAGCTGTTGGGTACAGGTAAAATCTAGGAGATTTAAATAATCACTAGAATGGGGAAAATGGCCATGACAAAAAATTGTGGTTGATAATCAACCCATCAGTATTATGAGGTATATTTTAAAATCCCAAATTCTATAAGGTAAAATGAATAATGACAATACTGGGAACAAGAATAAGGAAGAAATAGTTATTCTGGTGTTATAGGCATCCAATCAAATTAATACCATCCAATGATGTATTCCCCTGAACCAGTGGAGTCAGATTTCACATAAGCAACTGTCATAAAAAAAACAATGTTACTACATTAGTAGCAAAACTTTTAAGAACTATCTTATTAGTTTATATGAAAAACCTTGCCTCTGAAAATGGTGTCTAAATAAAATGACTCACTATTATCAAAGGCATTTAGATTAATTCATTAATGAGAGAGTTCATGAATAACATGAAGACCCCAACAAACGGCACTTGCTCCATCAGTGACTAATGCTGGTCTGAAGCTTTGCCAACCCTTCATGGACTACATGATTCAGAAAAAGAAGTATAAAATGCATTTGATTGCTTTCCCTAAGATTATCGTCTCTTGCAAAATCCAGCGGTGAAGCAGTGGGTGAAAAGTTCTTCTGTGGATTGATGACTAACTCCGGACTCTGTCTTCTCTCCTCCTCCCATGGCCTGAGCAGCATGACGGAAGGGCTAGGACAGTTGACTGATGGGGTATCTGGCCTGGATGATTTTACCCAGACCCATGAATACCATGTGTGGCCTGGCTATGACTACGTTGGTTGGCGGAATGAAAGTGCTACCAATGGCTACATTGAGATCATGTTTGAATTTGACCGGATCAGGAATTTTACTACTATGAAGGTCAGTGGAGTTAGGTGTGATATATTTTCTTAAAGAAATCCAAAATTATAGTGGGAGTGTGGGGTAGGGGAAGGAAGGGGGGATATTTGAGGTGTCTTAATCTGATGTTAACAGAACTAGATTTTAAAATATATTCCACTAGTACAAGTATATATGAATTCAGGGTCACATTATTTTTCAAAATAATTCTTTATTGATTCTTTGGGAATTTCACAGCATGCATCCCAATCCTGCTCACCTCCTAGTACCTCCCTGTCTGCCCCTCATACCTGCAGCATCACCCCAAGAGAAAAACCCACAAAATAATTAAAAACGAAACAAACCCCACCTCATTCCTTCATCCTTCCTGCCTCTCCAATACCTCTTCACTTGTCTCAGTGGCACTGGGAGCTATGGTGTGTCACACAGTATACCCTTTTGTCTAATCAGCCCCACCCACAAACATTCATTGCCATAAGTTATTGGTCTGGTCCGAGACCTCTAGCTCTCTGGCACACCATCATCACTGGACCCTTACAGAAACTCTTTTTAAACATCCTGCTGTCGCCCTGAGTCATGGAGGTCCTACAGCTATTGTTCCATAGGACCAGTCCCTTCGAATGCTCTAGTAGGTCACAGATGGGGTAAATGTTAGGGTGGGCCAACCCAAGGTCCAGGATGTAGACCTGGGTGATAGCTGAGGTAGTCAGTCTGGGCCATTGGGTCAGTCCTTCTCAGGTGAGGGGCTGAGCCAGCTTTCCCATACCCATAGTGAGGAGGGGTCCACCTATCCTGAGTGTGTGTGGTTCTCCCATGAGAAGTGGGGCCAGTTTTCCTGCTGCAGTGTCCAGGAAGGTGCAGGGCCAGCAATCCCAGGGCCAGTGGAAGGGGGGCCAGCTCAGCATGGCTCTTGGATTTCAACACACATGGTTCCTATGGCCCCCTCTGGAAACACGCCATGGACATCAACACAGACCATGGCCACAGCAGGACCATGGACCCAGACATGGCTGTTAACAATAGGTTGGGCCTGAATATCACCATGGCCTGAGTGGCAGTGCAGACCACCCAGATCAGTATGGACCCAGTTGCAGCTTGACCCTCGGTCACCAACATGGCCTCAGGTGGCTGACCAGATATTGGGAATCGACACAGCTCTCAGTGGTAACAGGGACCATGGAAATCAACTCAGATCCTGGCTGAGTCCATGGCCCTTGGCAGCAGCCTGGGACCGACACCACCATGGCCCCAGGTAGTGCAGAGCACTCAGATTGGCATGGCCCCAGCAGCAGCATAACCCTAGGATACCAACATGGCCACAGACGATAGCCCAGATCCAACATATCCTTGTGGCCTTGGAGGCAACATGGGTCATGGGTGTCATCATGGACTCCAGCTGGGTAGGACCACAGACCCAGACATGGCCCTTGGCAGCAGCCTTGGCTCAGACATCACCCTGGCCCCAGGGAACAAGGAGGCCACCTACATCAGCCTGATGTTTACCACATTCGCCTTTTTGGTTCTGGCTCTTTCCACAGAATTATGAACCATTTTGCTTTTCTTTCTATTTCTCCACCATATATTTGCCCACCATAAAGGCACCTACCCACCCTGTGCATGAGGTGCCAGGTGGGCATGTGGATGTCAGCAGGAGCCAGGACTGTGAATATCCAGTCTAGCCTGTGGGTGTCTTTTACCTGCCTGGACCGAGTAGCTGAGTCACATTATTTTTATGGTTGCTTCTTCATTTGTTAATTCTGTGATAGGTTAGGTTAGAGTCATTATTATTGATTTACTCCCTCCCTCTCCCCCTTCCTCCCTTCCTAACAACAGAGCAAAATATTGCTATCCAATTAGGTATAACAGTTATTTCATCAGTGCACAATTATGGAACAGTTAACTGGAAATTGGTGACTATTGTTGAGTGGTTGGATGAAAGCCAAAGACTTAGCATAGACTGCCCTAGAGACTTCCACATAATGAACCATAGCAAATACGAATTCATGAAGAGATCTGCAGAAGGAAATATGAGGTCTAGATTTCATTTTCTCTGAAGTAGGACCCCACCAGGGAGCCAAATCTGGATGCTGCTATTGTTGTAACATAAAGTGTTTCCTGGTTCCTAGTTTAAATCGTTTTCCTCCTCTTTCCACCCCAGGTTTGTTTTAGAGAGAAAGTCATGGAAAAGAACAAAAGTTCATGCAAAAAGGAACCAGATTGGATTAAATCCAAATTATAAGGTTAGGGAAAAGTAGGACCCAGGGGTGTGGAGGAAAGCCCATGTATTCAGTGTAAGATGAGACTGTTTGTGCATAACTCTTAATCATCTATGAAAGTGCAAAAGGGAACCTCACTAAAAGCCCCAGGAAAGGGTGGTCAAATCAATTTGGCCTACCACATGAATGTTTACTTATCTGATCTTTTTCCATGTTAATATTCATGTGCATAGTATTAATATTCAGCAAATTGTAACCCTTTAATTATATGCTACGTAATTCAAATTTGTTTATCTGTATGTGCTATTGCTTTTACAACTATATTTGGAGCATAGTATGCCAGATTGTGAGTAAAGAATATTCCCTGTTTTGGGACAAATTGGTCCCAAGGTCAGTAGGAAAGACAATACTAATTTGCAAAAAGAATATATGCAGGATCTTATAGAGCCCAGAAGAAGTACATATGCATCATCAGTCATCATTAAGCATTCCTCCCAATGCAAATTTGTTGTTCTTCTATAAACTAAGTTTAAAAAATACATGTCTTCTATATTACTCCAAGATGTTAATGGATAAGATTTCTTAACTGGATTAACAGTTATTCTTTAAATGAACAAAACATTTAAGATGAGAATAGAAGGAACAACATATGCACACTCTGTTGGCTTGCTGTTGGAAGATCTTTGGCAATTGTAAAACATAAGTGTGTGCAATTACATGTAACACATTCTTCTCCAGAGATTTTGTAGATGGGAAGAAGGAGGGGCAGAAGAAGGGTATATGCATAGTAACAAGAATATGCTGTAAGAGAAAATACTTTCGTATTTGTCTTTAATGTACCTGTGAAGATACACACAAACTCACAATTTTAAATGCCCCAGGGAGGATGTATAGTTTAATGAATAATTAATTATATGAATTTTAAGCTATCCATGAAGTTATAATATTTCATCAGGAAACTTTGATCTTCCTAAATCTTCAGGATTCTTTTCAGCTAGTTTATCACAGATCAAAATGATTCTGGAGATTACATTAATAATCCAGAGATTTCTTAGGGGTAGCTTCAGGACAGACTTCTTAGGCAAACAGATCCTCCATATGTTTTAATTTTTCTGGGTGAAAAAGGTAAAAGATGACTTCCAGGGCACTAATATCTTCTATATATCAGGTTTCTTTCTGAGGCAAATTACTCCTCATTTCTTGCTTTGAAGAATGGTTAAAATATATCATTAAAGCTTATTCATGCACTCAAAGCATATTGTTTTAATAAATAAATATGTAAGCCCACATGGGATGAAATCCTATGCTATTTATTTGCATTCCAGAAGAATTCTTGAAACATCTGTAGGAAAGATTATTACCTTCCCTGCAGGGTATTTACCCAACACTTTGCAGATTTCAGAACATCTGAAAAACCTATTGAAGCCAGAGAAGGTATTTCTTTGATTTATTTTTTTGCCCTTAGCTTCACTCCATTGACTTGGGGGGGTCAATAAACTAGAATGGTTATTTCACTCAAGGAAGATATTAACACATGTGTTCATCAATAAAACCTGTGGAGAAAAAACCCAAATGGAAAAGTTAAAGTGGCTGCTACATTTCTATGTGGTATGATGTAGAAAAGGGCATTGGGGTAAATGTCTAGGTCTCTATATCCAGTTGTGTTGTGGACTGACCACAGGTAGGGAAAACATGTGAGTATGTATATCTTGTCAGTACACATACCTGGGCTAGAAGGGTTTTACATCCTTCAGTAGATCTCATGGTCTACCCTTAGAGTATTTCTGTTCCAGTCATTTGTCATTATGTTTCTTTCATCATTTTCTTCTTCATTTCCAAATGAATTTGAATTCAGCCTGGTACTCCTGAATTGATTATCTAGAAGGAATTAAAGAGCTTAAACAGTGTAAGTCAGGCCCTAAGCAGACATTAAAACGGAACCAGGAAATATAGTCCACGAATGGCAGTCATGCCTTTGCAACCCATGAAGCTCTTGAGGGGCAATGACCATGTAAGAGTGAGTCACGAGAAATGGAACTGAATTGCTGTAAGGAACCCAAGTCAGTTGCAAATATACACATTACATTTTTTTGTGGATTGTTGAAGGACTGTTGTGGAATTTTTGCTCTTGGTGACTTCACAAGCCAAACAAACATCCCACTAAAAGGGTCATGGGCCGGGAGAGTGGATGCCAGCTTCCTTCTGACTCACTTCTTGTCTGATCTCAGAAACTTTTGATGAGAAAGATTCGATGCTCCCATCCGAATGGTATTACTTAAACTGAATTTGCGTAAGTCTGTGTCTGTGGCTGAGAGTGCCAATCCATGACATTCTAAGTTAGATTTCCATAAAGAAAGATGAAATTGCATTTGTTTGTATATGGTTTTCTTTCAAGTTTCCCATCATAGCCTTCCTGAAAAGGGATGGTCTGGCTTTGGAAGGTACCTGCGAGGAAGTAGGGCATCAGGTTGGCTCACCATCTCAGAATAGCTCAGCAGTAGCAAGTGTGATTGAAAAGATTGCAGAGCCAAGGGAAGTCTCGTGGAGTAAAGACCAGGGACGATGCTAATACAGCCCTCCCTTAACACTGCGGAACCAGATCTGGCACCGTGAAGCCGGGTTGTCAGAGCACACAGCCGCAAACTGGAAATGGGGCAGCATCCTAGATGTTATAAGGACTGACCTGGGTATCACTGTCACTTTCCAGAAGACTGAATTATGGGTAGCATTCAGAGTAATAGGCAGGTCTAGGGGGTTCTTGGGCTAGTCTGGATGCTTGCCTGTGCAACCCAGCAGGGTTAGCTTGTCTCTCACATGCCCCTCTCTCTGCCAGGTCCACTGCAACAACATGTTTGCTAAAGGTGTGAAGATCTTTAAGGAGGTCCAGTGCTACTTCCGCTCTGAGGCCAGTGAATGGGAACCTACTGCTGTCTCCTTTCCCCTCGTCCTAGATGATGTGAACCCCAGTGCTCGGTTTGTCACAGTGCCGCTGCACCACCGAATGGCTAGTGCCATCAAATGCCAGTACCATTTTGCTGACACATGGATGATGTTCAGCGAGATCACTTTCCAGTCAGGTAGGAAGCCTTGGTCCCCACAGGGAAGAGAGTGGTTAATGCAGGAGGTGTGAAGGGCATCCTGGCTGCCTTCTGGTAGATCTCTGGAGGAGTGGTGTTACCAGGTGCCTCACAGATTATTTTTGGAAAAAGAGAATCCTTTGTGTTTCTAGTTTTAATTTATGTAATTGTAAGGAACAGGAATGGGACAGTACAAACTTTGTTAGACTCCTTTTACACATTTGTCTAGAAGAGATTTATGGCAAAAGATTTTAAAAATGATAATAAAGTGTGCCAAAAGCTACAAATTAAGTCTGTTACAAATTACTAATTACAAATCAAGACTATTAATGGAAAACATTTAAGCACTATCAAAGTATTCAATCGAAAATCTCTAACCATTATGTACAAAATTGAAGAGAACAATGGAGTTTCTCCCATCACTCATCTTTATCACTAATCGTTTGTGACCTTTATTCATTCCTTTTTTGCTGTAGTATTTGAAAGCAAATCTGAAACACATTTTGGTTGATTACTAGCATTTTGGAACGCATATAAGAAAATGCCTCTTTGAGTGTAATGTCATTATAACAACTTACAGCATTTACCAGTAAATTCTAAAAATGACTATATCATCCTTGAGCAAAAGTAGAGTTCACAGAAACCTGGCATTGTACTAAACCTTGAAAGGTTCAAAGGAATTTATGATCTTGTCCATCCCATTCAATTTTAGTTTGGAAGATAGAAATCTATACAATGGCTTTTCAAAAATAATGCAAAACCAAGTATAAGCAATCAGGAAGAGAAGGGCGCAAAACCACGTACTTGTCATATACTGCCAAAGGTATGAGAATTATGTCAGTCTTGGAAGAAAGGCAAATGAATAGAATAATATGCTAGAGAAGGAGAGAGTAACTTAGCCATGCTTTAGAAGGGGATATCCTTTCTGGCTTGATTTTTTTTCTGAAGAAGAAATTTTCAAGATTCACTTATTAAACTATACTAACAGGAAAAGAGGATGTGTGTGTATTTAGAAAAGAGGTTTGGTGCCTATATTCTGTCTATGCCAATAATGTAATTTAAAAGCAAACAGATTAATTATTTCATATAATTTTGTCATAGTATAAATTTATATGCTCAAAAGAAGAGGTGCTTATAATAATAACCATGGTGGTGGGGGGATCAAATAGATTTTCACTGTCCTTGGGAATAATCTGTATAAACACACAGATGTCCACCTATCCTTGGGTATTTGGGGCAGAGTAATTGATGCAATTGTCTTATTTTGTCCAAGAAAAGCTTGGATTATTCTTTTTCCCCCAGGAGTTTCTTGGGCTTCAAATCCTATGTCTTGATAATGTTAGCTTCTTGAGGACCTAACTTAACAAGTATAGCTGACATCAGAAGCTCTTTATTTGTTTAGTAATGGTAAAAAGAAAAAAAATAGGATTTGCTAAAGGAATATCTGGTAGAAGAGAAATCCAAATTTTAATTCTTGGCACATCAGAGGTAAAAATTAGTTGCCAGAATCAATAAGGAAAACATACTTTGGGGTCTGTTTTTGAGGGCTTCAGCATCACAGTAAAGAATACTTCAAAGCCAGTTTTCTATCTCTAGGATGAATGAAGCCCTAAGATTTAGAGCAATGAAGCACAGTAAAAAATCCCTTTAGAAAATAATTTAAATTCTTTGAAAAAAGGAATATTTTCATACTAGGTCTATTCCTTGCTCATTTAGCCACTGAATTCTTTCAACATACTGTTGAATATGGGTCCTCCTCTATGGTGATCTATGACCTCAGCCCTCTGAAATACCATGTGTTAACTTTTTTATACTGTGACAGTATATAATATTTGCAACAATTTTGTTTTATTTTAATTGAGCTATGCATTTCCCCCAACCCCTCTTCCCCCTGCCTCCCACACTCCCAATTTTCTCAGGAGATCTTGTCTTTTTCCCCTTCCTAGGCAGATCCATGTGTGTCTCTTTTAGGTCCTCTTTGTTACCTAGGTTCTCTGGGGTTGCAGTCTGTAGGCTGGTTGTCCTTTGCTTTATGTCACAGTTGTTTTTTTTTTCCACCAGAAAAGTTGCCTTTACTTGTACAGATACTTTATTGACTTTATTTATGGTTTCATTTTTATTTTGTTTCTAATTGATATTATAATTTTTTGAGTTTATGGGCTACAGTGTTAAGAGCTAATACATATATAATAATCTAGGATATCTTTATTTTAAAAAATGCTATTGGTAACCCATTATATTGATTTTACGATGTGCTAGGTCTCGGGTTACCTTCAGAAGAGCCACCGCCTGCCTGGCTGTCCGCTCCAAGCTCTGATTCACTCTTGTTCTATTACAGATGCTGCAATGTATAACAACTCTGGAGCCTTGCCCACCTCTCCTATGGCACCCACAACCTATGGTATGTATTGTTATTAATTGTAAAATATTAAGCTGAAGGCACCTACTAGAAGATAAAGAAAGGTAGATATTGCTAAGACCTCACTGGGTGTGAGTGGCTGGATTCCATGTGACTCTGGATGAAGATTAGCATGGCAGAGTAAGAACAGTCTACCCCCAAAGTGAAGGATCCAGAGTTACTCTAACTTGTGACCATTCATGAGTTTCTTCAGTTGAGAGGGGCAGAATCTAGAGTCTTCCAAATGCTCCATGAAGTTTTAAGTAGCTTGGAGAAGAAATATGTAAGGGGACATTCCTACATGAGACCCACTGTAGGGATTTCAATGTATCAGTGGTCCATGAAACAAAATGTTTTCCTATCTGTTTGGATACGAGTATGCAAAGGTACATTCTTTGCTTGAGGAAGTCACTGGCAATAATAGCCAGCAACCTGCAAGTGTATGATTGGATATCCCTTGGGAAGAGTCTCAAAGAATAAAGGAAGTGGAATTCATTCCTTACAATTTTCCATGAGTGTCAAGAGCTTATACATACCGACCATTGCAATATGCAGGAAACAATGAAGGGATGCATAGAAAAAGTCCTCACTATCTAGTCTGAGACATGGAGAGATGGAGGGTGGTGGTGATGGAGGAGGACTGTAGAAAATAGAAGCAAAGAAATAAAGCAAGATCAGCAAAAACAGGGATATAAGGATGGCACCTTCTGGAATTCTCCTGAATGAACATGGTCTGTCTCCATACTCTGCTCCAGGCACGACTACTTTTTACTTGCCTTGTGAGATGATTCTCTTCTCTGCCTTCTCTTCTTGGTCACAGATCCCATGCTTAAAGTCGATGATAGCAACACTCGGATCCTGATTGGCTGCTTGGTTGCCATCATCTTCATCCTGCTGGCCATCATCGTCATCATCCTGTGGAGGCAGTTCTGGCAGAAGATGCTAGAAAAGGTGAGAATGCGTAGTCTGGACAGGAAGCTGTGCCTTCATTTCCTACACTGCCATGGCACCAAAAATGCCAGATTTCAAAAAAAAAAAAAAACAGTTAAGAGGCCAATGAGCTGCCTGAGGCTTCCAAGAAGCATGGTATGGAGAAGGCTGTTGAAGTGAGTCAGAAACTAATTAGCTAAGTCTAGTTTCTGATTTTCAGATTGAAGGATTTAGAACCTCAACTTGGGCATTTCCTGTGAAGGATCTGGTTTGTTGGGTTTGAGGTAGAGTTCAGACACTCATGAATGGATTTTCAGTTTGGCAACGGTTTTGAAGGACAGCCAGGGTTGGGGGTCACTCTCAGTCCTGCTAAACTTTTTAACAATAATGCTAAAGTCTTTTTTCTTGTTTGTGTGTTTGTCCTTTTGTTTTTTGGTGTCTGATTACGTACTTTTCTGTTGCTGTGACTGAATAGATGACAAGATGCAACTTAAGGATTGCTTTGTTTTATATTATGATCTAAGAGGAGAGACAGTCTATCGTGGCAGGGAAGGAACGGTGGCAGAAAGGAAGCAACCGGTTACGTTGTGTCCAAGTCAGGAAACAGAGAGAAATGAATGATGGTGCTTAGTTTGCTGTCTACTTCTTAGTTCCGGATCCCAGCCCATAGGATGGTACTGAAGACATTCAGGGTTGGTCTTCCCTGCTCAGCTACCCTTTCTCCAAACACCTGCTTACATATGCATAATTAGGCTTCCATGGTGACTAAAGTTCATCAGGTTGATAATGAAGCTTAAATTTTACTCTCTTACACACACCTCTAAAAAACAGAGGAAGTGCTTGGCTACTGATCAGATGTTATAGAGTTGTATAAATGATGCTAGTAAATGCCCCAGTGAAGCTGATGAATGTTGTCAACACAATTAGAAGGCTAAACTCTGCCTTGAGGACATAAGTGACTTTGCTAAGTTTCTGTAACATAGTATGACAATCTTCTCCATGACTTTCAGGCTTCACGGAGGATGCTGGATGACGAAATGACAGTCAGCCTTTCCCTGCCCAGCGAGTCCAGCATGTTCAATAACAACCGCTCCTCATCACCAAGTGAACAGGAGTCCAACTCTACTTATGATCGAATCTTTCCCCTTCGCCCTGATTACCAGGAGCCGTCTAGACTGATCCGAAAACTCCCAGAATTTTCTCCAGGGGAGGAGGAATCAGGTGAGCATGAAATCATGAGCAGGACATGGCAGGAGAAACTTTGATGCACATGATGTAGGTATAACACTCTTGATGCAGGTTAACCAAATCCATTACGTCTCTGCTGGCCTCTGGAGAAATCTATAGTCCATCTCTAGATTTGGTTGTTTCTGCTTCTAGCCGGTTCTGAAACCCTTTCTTTTATATTTGACATAAGATGTTCAGAGAGACTCGTAAAAAATGGCAAAGTATCACTAATGTGTTCCCAGAAGCAGTTGGCCAGTCTCTCCTGGTAACCTTCTTGTTTTGTTTGTAATGGGAGAGAAGACCCAGCTGGTGTACTCACTTGACACCAGACTTCACTGAGGCAAATTCTAGACTGGAAATTACAATGAAGGAAAAAAGATAAATGAAGCTAAAGACATTTCCTAGTTGTGGGTCGCTCTCTGAATAATCGAATCATTTAATTTTTATTGACTTCTCTCTGGTAAATATTCATTACTCTCTTTGGTAAATATTCATTGCACTAGCATACATTTTTATTTTGGTAGTAAATATCTTTTTATCTTTTCTCAGTAAAAGTATCGGATAAGGTACATAGTACCAGTTGCTTTGAATCCCAGTCCCTTTAAAAAGTTCTGTAGAGTGACATCAAGAGCATGCTTGATCAGCTCTGGCATCCTCACAGCCTAGAAGTGAGCAGGTTGGTAGCAGAGGAAGCCTGAGCCAGCTGGTAGGACTAAATAGAAGAATAGAGGCTCATCAAGGAATAAGCTTGCCAGAAGAAGAAAGGAAAGTAACATCTACTTTATCACTAATGGGGTAAAAAAATTCATAGAAAGAGCACACTGACTTCGTCAAATTTTCTAGAAACAGCAAGAGTAAAGACTATACATGAATTTACTTCCTTAACAGAACTGAAATAACTAACCTATTTCCTGGGGGCCAAAACGTCTCCCATATCAAACATATTTTAACTTTTTAAAATTTATCTTAAACAACATCATATAAATTCAATCTATGGTTGTTTTCTTCCCTAAACTGTGCTGTTAAATTAATGTCAGCGTTTTGAAATTAAGGAAATTTGCTGTTAAACCTTTAACCTTCAAGATTGCTGTCCCCGTACAGCAATGTTGGGAACTTGTTCATGATGGTAGCCTATGAGGAGAGTGAAAAACAAAATGGTGGCCTAAATTCTGTAGTTCAAAAGGCAGGTGTCTGGAGGAAGTACAAATGGCCCCAAATAAGTACATTATGAAGTGGGTTAGACTGCCATGGGACCAGATACTTGCTATCCCCTCAGATGTTCCTCCTTAAAGACATCTCCCAGCTGCCGTTGGGAACCAGACTCAGTGGCCATGTCTTCTCAGGCTGCAGTGGTGTTGTGAAGCCAGCCCAGCCCAATGGACCTGAGGGTGTGCCCCACTATGCAGAAGCTGACATAGTGAACCTCCAGGGAGTGACGGGTGGCAACACCTATTCAGTGCCTGCTGTCACCATGGACCTGCTCTCGGGAAAAGATGTGGCTGTGGAAGAGTTCCCCAGGAAACTGTTGACTTTCAAGGAGAAGCTGGGAGAAGGCCAGTTTGGGGAGGTGAGTTGCTCTTTGGAATGAGACATGCAGTCCTTGATGACATGAAGGAAGTAGGTGGAAAAAATGATCAGTATCAAAAGAGTCCATCTAGAAGTGAATTAGCAGTAGATCTCCTCTGCTTGTTTGTCTGAATTGCTGTCAGGATGGATAGTTAATGGCCAACCTCATCTTTGTGTAAAAGCTGTGGATTTCCTGGGACATCTGATTTCTGTGCAGAAAATTTGAGGGCAAGTAAGTCGCCAGAGTTCAGATCCTGAACAATACTCAATGCTTTCAAAGACCGTTTACAGTAGGTTACTAAGGGTGGTGCTCAGGGTATCATCATCTTCTATGGTCTATCTAGGAATGCACTGATGCTTGCTGTCATCTTTTTCCTTTTCATGACAGTTATATGTCAAAATGATAAAAGCAGAACAGAATGAAAAAAACCAAAAACAACCTCACCCTTCCGTTAGTTCCAGAATTAACCACTAGGGAATGCATCGCTACAAAAATAAGGAGGGGCCGGCCTCTTCTGAGTTGTCCTCAGAATGATGCATGTGATATTAAACTTTTCACTCTTGTAGAAGTCATAGGAACCTTCAGGGAATTCAGAGCAATGTTTTTGGCTGTAATAGGGTCCATTTAATCCTGTCTTCTATTCTCCCTCTGGGTAGAGGCAGAGGGATCCATGACATCTGTCTATGGTGTCATATGAACTCATTCTGTCTCCTGGGTTGAAATCCAATGCCCGCTATATTATTAATAACACATAGGCATAATTTACAACATTCTTCTCACCCCAAGGGCTTTGATTTTTATGATCAAGGGATTAACTTTCTCAAATCAAAGTTCAACAGTTATGCCAAATAATATTTTCTAGAGTTGTGCTGTGATAAAATACGATGTCATAGATCCATTTCATTCTTTATTAATATTGCATTCAATGTATATTTCTCTTACAAGGCATCAACATATCACATTAGCTGGGTACTTAAGCATTGCTTACTAATTTTTTTTCAATTACTTGAATCAAAGATATGTCAGCCATAGCCTCTTATTGGTCTCTGGTTATTTTTCCTGAGTTGTAAGAGTTGGTTTATCTCCAGAATATGCCCAGTAAGAGTACTGAGATATCTCCGGGAGAAATGATGATGCTGAAACTAGATGACTTTTGTCTAGGTTCATCTCTGTGAAGTGGAGGGAATGGAAAAATTCAGAGACAAAGATTTTGCCCTGGATGTCAGTGCCAACCAGCCTGTCCTGGTGGCTGTGAAGATGCTCCGAGCAGACGCCAACAAGAATGCCAGGTCTGTGGTCTGAATTTTGAATTTTCTTTACTTGTTTCCGGGTGAGGATTAGGAATAGTTCTGGAAATTCCTGAGCTTTTCTTTTTCTTTTTTTTCTTCTGAGATTGGAAGGTCTGTGAGCTATCCCCACAAGCCCACTCTTAATGCTTCATGCTTCCAATGTTATTGGAAGTGCCCATCTTTTTCTCCATCTCTTTCAAACACAGATTTATATATTTATATTCTATTTCACTATATATTTCCTTCCTAAATCCCTTCATCCGCTGCATACAGTAGCCCAAATGTGTGCCTCACTCATGATACCCAGATGTACTCTTGAATGCCACTCTCTTCTCTAGCTGATTTTTCACAATGACAGATATCTTTCTGCCTACATCTTTGTGTTCTCCTGTTTTTTTCACATCTCTGTTTACATTCTCATCCTGTGTTTTCTCTTTTATGCTCCTTTTCTTCTATGTTCAGCAGCCCCCCACAATGAGAAGCTACTTCTACTTGGAAACTCATCCATGGACCTCAGAGCAAAAGGATCCACAGTCCTTTAACAGGTTTCCTAACTGGCTAGTAGTCTCTCAGATCCTTTATGACATAAATTGCGGTTTCCATCACACTGCATTGTCCCCTGACAGCCTTTCGGTTACGGTGATGGTGAGTTAATCCTCACCCAGAGAGGCATGCTGGTAGAAAACTAATTGTTTGTGTCCCAGAGAAACCTGAACTTCTGGATAGCACGTGCATCTTCCCATGTGTATTGTCTTGATTTGTCTCACTGATATTCATCCCAAGAGGAAGATTTTTATTCCTATTCTCCAAGTTATTGTAAATTCCAAAAACAATGATAGGTTTCATTAAAAGTCTTACAATGGACAAGATGGGAATGAAAGAGGAGAGAAAGGTGAAGAATTGGAACTGTGTACGTTTTCACATTTTAACCAAGAGCTTTGACTTGCGAATATTAACGAATGAATTAAAGATTAACAGAGAGGTGGGATATTAATCATATTAATCTTTGCACATGGCAGGAGAAAGTGGCAAGCAGGAAAAGACATTGTATGAAATAGGATAATGCATTTCTGGGTTGTTGAAATTTGCTGATTCCACTTACATTCATTCTTGTTTGGTAGTGATAGATGCCCTAAACTCTGGGTCCTCAAGAGTCGCCAAAACCCATGGTCTGGAATTCATAGAAAAATAAGAGAGGAGATGCTGAATTAGGACTCCATGGGTTCCAAAAATTTATATGGACGGAGCCTGACTTTCAGTGCAGAATTCCTATAAAACTCACCATAGACTTCTGATTTGCTCCTGGAGTTTTAAGAATGTGGGATATTGGCTCCATGTTGACAATTTACAACTCAAGTGTGGCTGTCATTGTGAACTCAAACAGTTACAAGTTTTGGCCAAATGAGTACTTTTGATATGATTTTAGTTTACCATCACAGCTTTTTGTCACCAAATCAATGAATCCTATGTCTGACCACTGGTGCAGATGGGATTGGGAAAATCTAGTAGGAGAAAAAGAGAAATAATCAGATAAGAAGAGGATGGTTATCCACCTTGTAAAAAGTGTCTTCATTAATAGTGTGATTCAGTAGTTTTTGAAAGAAGCAAATAATTTAAAGTTCTTAGGTTGGTTTTTAGTTAAAAGCTCCATTTACAAGGTAGTTTTAAACAAGGCATATCTGAGTTAGTAACATCAACAACTTTCTATGTAGGGACCATTTTTGCCACATATGAGGGTTATAAAAGTGAGTCATAGATCTTGTCCTTGGAAATATAATTATTGGTTAAATAAAGGTCCATTGTGTTCAAGGAGGAGTTGAATGTGATAGTTCTAGGTGCCTGTTTGTCTGTCATCTCAAAGACCTTCCAAAGGGGGAGTAAGACATGGCATGACGGATGGGAGCAAGACATGGCATGACGGGTGGGAGTGGACACCACTGTGCATCCTTCCCTGCTCAGTTCTGACTCTGACAACCTCTGACTTGTTCTATAATTGTGTCCTTCAAAGGAATGATTTTCTTAAGGAGATAAAGATCATGTCTCGGCTCAAGGACCCAAACATCATCCGTCTCTTAGCTGTGTGTATCACCGATGACCCACTCTGCATGATCACGGAATACATGGAAAATGGAGATCTCAATCAGTTTCTTTCCCGCCACGAGCCTCTGAGTTCTTGTTCTAGCAATGCCACGGTCAGGTACACAAGTCACATCTTAGTTCTTTTCTCTGTGATCATAAGAGTAATTCCAGGGCCTGAAAATGGGGAGTGGTGAAACATACGATTCCAGTTGTCCTGGGGGTAGTGTGGGAAGTTAATTATCGTTCAGTGAATGATGGTACAGCTCCCTTAGGGGGAAGATCAAACAGATTCTTTAAGATGGGTACAGGATAGAAATGGTTATAGCACGAACAATAAAAAACCCAAAGACAGATATTGGGGTTCAAGCTAAGATCAGAAAAGCAAAGCAGCCAAGTCACTAGAGAGTTCTTACCTCTACCAAGGCTAAGAGACCAAAGAGGGGTGATCCTGTCCTCAGCATGACTGCAGACTGTAAAGCTTTCCACAAAAAACCTTAGACTGCACTGAGCTCCTGCCTTACATTCCTCTCTAGTGCTGGGGTTAAAGGTGTGTCATGCTAGGTGCTGGGATCAAAGGTGTAAGCTTTGTTTCTGTTTTAGACTGATTTACTCTCATGTAGCCCAGAGTGGCCTTGAACTCACAGAGATCCATCTGTCTTCTGAGTGCTGGGATTAAAGGTGTGGCCACTACTGCCTGTCCTTTGTGCCTAACTAGTGGCTTAGTGTGTGTGTGACTAACCAGTGGCTTAGCTCTTAACTAGGTGTGTGGTTAACTAGTGGCTTAGCTCTGCACTCTGATCTTCAGTCAAGTTTTATTTGTTAAAATGCCACTACAGATGGTTCTGATTTGTTGATTAGATTATGATGTCCCCAGCTGCTTTCTCTTTCTTATGTGTGCCCCTAGTTATGCCAACCTGAAGTTTATGGCTACCCAGATCGCCTCTGGTATGAAGTATCTCTCATCCCTTAACTTTGTCCACCGAGATCTGGCCACACGAAACTGCTTAGTGGGCAAGAGCTACACCATCAAGATAGCTGATTTTGGAATGAGCAGAAACCTGTACAGTGGTGACTACTACCGGATCCAGGGCCGGGCAGTGCTCCCTATCCGCTGGATGTCATGGGAGAGCATCTTGCTGGTAAGTGTCTACTCCTGTGAGCCCTGCCCCAGCAGCTGATCCGCTGCTCAGGTGGGAGACTGGAACAAAAGGCAGCAGGAGACAAGCTCCACAGATCTTGATATTGTCCCTGATTTGAGAGTATTGTCTCTGGGAACTATCATTATTATTATTATTATTATTATTATTATTATTATTATTATTATTACTCAAGACTTGACAATTTCTGATAAAGTAAGTAATGCCTTGTTATAGAAACTTTAGGGAAAAGGTTTAAAAGTATAAGGAATTTAGTATCCTTGTCCCCCTCTACCCTCCCACCTGTTAATTCAGAGCATTAAAATCCTAATCTATTTGGAGCAGTCGTGGCGCTTGCCTTTAATCCCAGCCCTTGGGAGGCAGAGGCAAGCAGATCTCTGTGAGTTTGAGGCCAGCCAGGTTTACAGAGTGAGTGCCAGGACAGCTAGGGATATGCAGAGAAATCCTGTCTAAAAAACAAAAACAAAAACAAAAGCAAAACCAAATAAATAAATAAATTCCTTCTCCATTGAAAACTTATGATTCAATGTATTTTTCCCATATTAAGTTCATGACCATGCTTCTTATTAGTTGTTTAGAATTATAGTTTTATTTTGGTGATTTTTACCATTTACTTGTTGATTCCAGTATTTTTCATTTTACGATTTTTACCCAATTTTTGGTGTTCCAAACCACGGATGAGTGACTTCAGATGCCTCTCCTGGGGTCTGATTTTGCTGGCTGTGCACATCTAAGCCACTTCAATGCTGATTTTATAACCACTCATTTGCAGAATGAGTAAACTACAAACTTTCACTTCCTACAATGCTACCTGGATTGCCTTCCATATTACTCAGAGAAAAACCTGAGCCTAGCTTGATTTTGCTCATTTCTACTTCAACTGCTTATTTGGAGCTGATATTCATATAAGATTTATAAATTGATTTGGAAATGGAAAAGTGTACACAACCTCCTCATCAAGATAAGTATGGTTAATGCTTTGGAATACTGCCTTTAAGACATTGTGTGTGTGTGTGTGTGTGTGTGTGTGTGTGTGTGTGTGTGTTATTTCTATGTGTATATGCCTTTGAAATTTTATCTTTTTACTTATTTTTGGTTTTCTAGACAGGGTTTCTCTGTGTAGCCCTAGTTATTCTGGAACTCACTTTGTAGATCAGACTACCCTGAGACCCAGAGATCCTCCTACCTCTGCCTCCTAGTTCTAGGATTAAAGGCATATGCCCTTGCCTCCTGGCTTAAAATTTTTTTATTTTTAATTATACAAGCGTGTGTGTGTGTGTGTGTGTGTGTGTGTGTGTACGTGTGTGCGTGTGTCTGGGGTAGCAGTATACATAAGATAGGTGTTTGCAGAGACCAGAAGAGGGGGGGGTCATATCCCCTGGAGTTATAGTTATAAGCAGTTACAGGGAGCAGGTGCTGGGGATTGACCTGGTTCTTCCTCTGGAAGAAGGATAAATGCTCACATCTGTCTGTTGTCCTAATACTTGGGAGGCTGAAGCAGGAGGTTTGCTGTTAGTTAGACACAAGCATTGAACAGGGAAGTGAGAGTCCTGGATCCACCAGGCCTAACTCCAAGCACTTAAAACCTTAAAATTTCTTTTATTTGTACCACCAAAATCACTAACTTTCTCCTGATATTTTAGGCTTTCCCTAAGTGGTTCTCCAAAGTGACCCATATCATACAGGTGGCCCTTACAGTGTTCAGAAGGTCAGTAGCCTACAGGTATCAGTTCTAGCACACATAGAGTCCAGCCGCTTATGGTTTGCATCCTTTCAGCCCTTGGATATCATCTCCAAGAGAAGCAGAACTAAGTGAGGTCGTAGGGATGGGAGAATGTACTTCTTTCCAACAAGATCACATTGCTGCTTCCAGCTCCTCCATGCGCATTTGCCAGTTGCTTCATTCCTTGCTTTTGGTAGGGGAAGATTGATTCCAGATGATGAGCACATACCATGCTCTTTTTTGGTGCCTGGCTTGCTCTGATTTTCTCTTCTTTTCCTCCAATAGGGCAAATTCACCACAGCAAGTGATGTGTGGGCCTTCGGGGTGACTCTGTGGGAGACTTTCACCTTTTGCCAGGAGCAGCCATATTCCCAGTTGTCAGATGAGCAGGTTATTGAGAATACTGGAGAGTTCTTCCGAGACCAAGGGAGACAGGTATGAACTGTTGGGGATGTGGACTTGGGTGCTCTCAAGGGAGAAAGGAAGGTGTCAACTTAGTAGGAGGGCCCCAGGTCTGGGATGCAAACAGAATTCTGTTTCTTATGCTCAGTCTATTTCTGGATCTTGATTATTTGGCAAGTCTGTTGGTGGTTTAAAAAAAAGGAGTGAAGAGAGTTAATGGTGTTTGTTTTAAAAAAATCTTAGAATAATTAGCCAGGCATTGGTGGCACATGCCTTTAATCCCAGCACGTGGGAGTCAGAGGCAGGCGGATCTCTGTGAGTTCAAAGCCAGCCTGGTCTCCAGAGTGAGTTCCAGGACAGGCTCCAAAGCAATACAGAGAAACCCTGTCTCAAAAAACCAAAAAAAAAAAAAAAGAAAAGAAAAAAAAAAAGAATAAGATATGGTATTAACTTGGGCTGACAAGCAATGTTTCTGCCCTTGGACATCTACAAATGGACTGGTGTACCCTGGTACTTCTCTGGGGAGGTACCTTTGGGCCTACTTATGGAGCCTCTTGGGACTTAAGGACTATTGAGTCTTCAAGCTAACAAGAAGTCCTCATTCCCTGAGATATCAAGCTTTCTTTGGTTGGTCAACTTTTCAGTGCTCCTATGAGACCTAGGACTTAAAGCTTGCTAATGACTAGAGCATTGCAGTACCCCAAATGGTCTATCTGTAGCACACCTTACATCACAGTATCACCAACAGGAAGATGGTTAATAGCTGGAGACAGGTTTTTCAGGAGATAAAAGTAGGTCCTTTCTGGCTTAACTAGACTTAAGAAAACAAACACCAAGAGAAGGGCATGATTAATACTTGATATACACTGAAAATGAGAAACGGGCCTGCAATTTAATTTTTATATCAATATTCTTTAGATAGTGTGGTAGCAGGGATTCTAAATCACCTATCTTAGTTAGGAGGTATCCTAGTGAGGATTTCTATTGCAGTGATGAAACACCATGACCAAAAGCAAGTTGTGGAGGAAAGAGTTTAGATGGCTTACATTTCCACATTTTTAGTCCATCACTGAAGGAAGCCAAGACAGCAACTCAAGCTGGGCAGAAACTTCGGGGCAATAGCTGGCTCAGAGGTCATGGAGGAGTGTCACTTTCTGGGTTGCTCCTCATGATTTGTTCAGCCTGCTTTCTTATGAAATTCAGGACCTCCTGCCCAGGAATGGCTTCACCCACAATAGGCTGGGCCCTTCCTGATCAATCACTAATTTAAAAAATGGCCTATTGGTTTGCCTACAGTTCGGTCTTATGGAGACCTCTTCTTAACTGAGGTTTTCTCATGTTTCTTAATTGAGGTTCTCAGATGACTTTAGCTTGTGTCAAGTTGACATAAAACTGTCCATCACAGGAGATAACTGCTTTCTTCTTGTGATAAAGCAAAAATTTGTCCTTGACTTTATGAAATATGCAATGAACCAAGAAAAAAATCTTCTCTTCATAGATCAGTGTTTTCAAACCACCCTTTAGAGGACATATGGCCATTAAAGAAGGGTTGTGTGTTCAATTAGAAAATGGATCCTACTCAACAAAATAATGGTCTTAATTTGAGTGTAGGCAAAGGTGGAATTATCGCAAGCCTCTTAGTTTTTTCAAGTTATTATTGATCAACAGAAATCCTGAAGAGTCAGTTTTTATACAAAGGCAAAATTAGATCAGCATCCATGCCACAAGAGGAAGGACTCTAAGTTCTTTCTTGTGCACTTTTCTTACATTAGTGCTTGTGATATTAAAAATGATCTTTAAATAGCCAAATGTTATTTCAATTCTGTTATTCAATTTCACAAGAACACATCTCCTTAAACCATCAGTTAGTAATAGAAATTCTCATTTCTAATCATCTTCAGAACTGAACTTTTCTCATTTAGTTTTGGAAGTCTGTGTAAGAAGGCACACTATTTCTACCTACACAAGATACCAGCCATGTACCAAATATACATCTTGACCATCTACCAATGATGTAGCACTAAAGTCAGAAATTCAGTCAAAAGTCAAATATTACCATCATATACTGAGGCACTTCTCAGTTACAACTAGAAATTTTGACAGAAAATTTACTAAATTTGGTATATCAAATGTAAATAATTGATGAAGCACAATTTATTAAGTTTGGCAAAATTACTTGCTATTGTGTTTATAACTGAAATTTCAGTATTTGTGTTTTAGAGTTTGACATGAGCATATTTGGAAAATACTGTCTTTATCAGCAGCTACAAGATTTCTGTGGTCACTGAACTACACACATGTGTGGAACTCATTTTCCAGTCCTCCAACAAACCTACTGTACACAGGAGATACAAGGAAGAGAAATGACAGTTTGGCTAATGTAAATGCTAGAAGAAATTTCATACTTTGGGTTCATAGCTTATGTAAATTTTAAACAATTTATCTTCAGTTTAAAATGCTTAGACATCCATAGCAGAATTTCAGCCACTAAAATGTATTTGCCTTTCTTGCTTTTAATTTACAATCTCAAGATGTGGAGAAATTACAGATAACATTTTTCTTGAATTCTCACAGTGTAAATAAAACTAAGTAACTAAAAATTAATTAATTTTAATTTTTACTTTGTTGTAATAAGAGGTAACAAAATTGTATATATTATACGAAGTATGAAATGTTCAGAAATCTATTAGTATAGCAGGGTATTAAAACTATAGGTAAGGGGATGATAGTAATAATATATAGAAGACAGAAGATGGACTTGGAGTTAGCTGAGTGCCATCTTCCTGTGGAGATGGTAACTGGCAACTTCAGAGTAGCATCCTAGACTGGGATTATGGCACAGTGACCACACCTGTTAGTGAAATCTAATCTCTTCTAAATGAGACCAATACGGAGGTGGGGAAACACAGAGAGCAACAGTAGGCATTACAAAGATGTGGCCTACATTCCAATTTCTGCATCTGGTTGAAATTTTATTCAATCACAATTGCAATAAAACTCCAAATACTTTATGGTGCTGAAGTTGCAAATATACTTTATATCTGTTGTATTGGCTCAACCGAGACACATGCTCATGAACTGAGGATCTGAGCTCTCATTGCTCTGGGGCCCACAGAATGGCCCACCATGAAATACTGCTTGAGGGAACTAGAAAAGACCAAGGTCATGAGGAAGGGGCTGGTGAGCTAGAACTCCACAAATGGGAAGAGTAGGTAAAACACCCATCTCAGTTGCTGAGTTCTATAAGGTGGTGATGGCATAAGTCAAGCTATGATACAATTCATTCTCCTCCTTCCTCTTAATACATATTTTTCCTTTAATTCTCTTTGTTCCCACAGATTTATCTCCCTCAACCAGCTATTTGCCCCGACTCTGTGTATAAGCTGATGCTCAGCTGTTGGAGAAGAGAGACCAAACACCGACCATCATTCCAAGAAATACACCTTCTGCTTCTTCAACAAGGGGACGAGTGATGCCTTCAATGCCTGCCAATGTTCCTGTGGCCTCTGGGTCCTCCCTACAAGACCTACTGCTCACCCACATACATCTAAGCCACTCCATCTGGACATTTAATGGACCCGAGAGACAGAGAAGTGTTCACTTTGCCTCTTACTGTCTCTTGCCTCCTCCACTACACTTCCCTACTCCCTACCACTGACTCATATATACTTTTTTTACATGAAATAACTAAAAAAGAAAAAAATAGAGCAGATAAAATTTAGTAAAATAAATATTACTTGATATACCAAAGTGTTAGGTAATAAAGGCTAGAAGCTCAGATAATTTATAAAGGTTATGCTTATAAGTGTGCAGATCTTACAATATTTTCCATGTCACTTTCTGTAATATACCTTTAGGAAGAAAACTTGAAGAATATGAATGTCTTGGGAAGCACAAGATTATGTTCAAGGAAAACACTTGGTAGCCATGAAGAATTGCAGGACTTGGCATGCCACAACTAATGGATGCTTTTCTGATTTGGCTTCTGGAGATGTCCCACTTACACTCTCAGATCTCTCTCTCTCTCTCTCTCTCTCTCTCTCTCTCTCTCTCTCTCTCTCTCTCTCTCTCTCTCTCTCTCCTCTCTTCAAAGTGAGTGACATGGACTTAAAACTTAAGAAGCTCTACCTTGTTTCTTTGAATGAATGTTTTCATCATTCATGGCCAGAGATCAGGGCATACCTATGAAACAGCATGTGGGCAGGAAAAAGTGTCTGTTGTAAGGTTGGAAGGGCAATAGTTATATACAGAAGAGAAAGACTGCACAGGGTTCTCTGTACACAGGGTCATAGGAAAGGAGGTCCAAGGAGGATTAATAGCAAATATACTATCTGTTGTTCACTTGTGAGGGCCTTTTCTTGCTTAAATATTTTCACTTGTGTGTTTTAAGTGACACCTTGACTATTTAATCAGTAAAATTCCAATGTTTTGATATTTTAGTGGTTGCTTCTTTGGCTCATCTTGCCCAGCTATATTTCTTTCAGTGTGTGATGCCTCTGTAGGACCTATAGGCTAGGATGGGAACTTCTCAGGCATAAATATCCAATGTCATGTACAACGTTCAGTAGATCATTCTGTGTGTCCCCCAAAAGGTTGGCCTAGACTACTGAAAGGAAGGTATAGGAAGACTGGTTTCCACTCTTTATTTGGGAAAATATGGAGAGAATCAGAACACACAGGCATGGAAGGACTCCCCAGAAATGGGGAGTCTCTCATCCCTGAAACATTCAGATATAGTTGAAGAACCATGTGAGAGTTTCTTGACCACAGGATGCATATGTCTGTATGGGATAATGAAAGGATGACCATTCAGTGTTACTGTATGTGCTTTTTGCCATAGAGATGGCGGCCAGCAGCAAAGCAGGAGGTTCTAGATTCAGTGTTCACAGAAACTGATACACAGTCCATCAGGAGCTGCTTGTGAGCAGATCCTATGTTTTCATGGGGAAATTAGAATACAGAAACCTCAAGTCCTGCAGAGGAGAACCAAGAAAAGACTATTGAATAAGCTTCCTGTGCTAAAGCTTCTGTTGTCTAGCCAGTCAGCTTGCTCGATGGTCTCTCAGAAACCCGACTGTTTCTTGGTGCAGCTCTTTAGTATGGCTCCAGGACACAGCAATAGGTGTAGCTCTAAGTCTCATTTGCAGACCCTATTCAGTTTGTATCATTCACAGCTTTAGTCTTTCCCAAGACTAACTCTGTCTGGGTCATTGACTGGAGAGGTAGGCGAGCATGGTTTGGGAACTTCAGCCCTCTTTCAGCCTCAAGTCAAGTATGCCATCTTCCCAAGTCTTACTGTCTCTGAATTTGTTTCCTTACCTGTCTAACTTGTAAATTGAATTAGAGATTCTGAAGCTCTTGGAGTTCTGCTGTGTTTTGTGCTTGCTGGAGAACTAGATTTGTGATTGGTGTAGGTTCAGTTACCTGTCTTGCTCAGAAAATTATGGCCAGTAAAAGGGATCTCGGGAAACAACATTTTAGTGACACTGACACCTACATGGCATCTGCTCTAGACTGACCAGGCATTTCCACACATTATCTCTCTTGATAGGTCTAGGGACAGACATGTTTCTTTCACAACTCTTAACTATGCACTCTTTAGGATTTTGCTCCCAATTCACTCTATTCCTCTACCTGCCATTTAAAAATCACTTTTTTTGTTTTTGTTTTTTCAAGACAGGGTTTCTCTGTATTGCTTTGGAGGCTGTCCTGGAACTTACAGAGATATCCACCTGCCTCTGTTTCCCAAGTGCTGGGATTAAAGGCGTGCACCACCAACGCCCGGCTAAAATCACGTTTAAAATGAAATTTCTCTGAGTTTGCATGATGGAACTAATCTGTTGCAGATGGTTATCAAATATGTATCGCCATGTACAGGCACCGTTTTTTCTCTCCCTCACTTCCTTCCTTCCTTCCTTCCTCCCTCCCTTTCTTTGTTCCTTCCTTCCTTCTCTCTCTCTCTCTCTCTCTCTCTCTCTCTCTCTCTCTCTCTCTCTCTCTCTCTTCCTACCTCCCTCCCTACCACCATCCGTCCATCTGTCTTTCCTTCTTTTTTTGTATGCAGAAGGCTCCACCTTCTGGCACTGAGACCTTTGTATTATAGACAAAGCTTTAGTTTCTATTACACTTGTAGAGTTGAGCTGTACCAACTTGAGTGACTCAGCACGGTAGATGGTAAGGGCTTACCATATAGACTTAACATGTAGCTCAGATATAAATTAGAGGAATGATGATAGGCTTTGACAAAGAAAGCAGAAGCCAATGGGAAGCTGTGGGTTACTGTTATTTTCCCAAGGTATCTATGATCATCATATATGTGAACCATTTATGTCAAGATGTCCTTTAGACTATTGTATCACAAATTATACCTTTATTGACAAATGTATTGATAGCCAGGTCCATTTATTTTTTTAGTGCTGTGGATTAAACCCAGAATTTACACATGCTTTGGCAGGGTTCTGTCGTTGATCAATAGCCTCGGTATCTATGTTCAAATCTTGCCCTATTGGCCAGGCTAATATGTCACTAATTCATGCATGTGATGTGGAGTGGAAAGGAGTGCTCTGAGGAGGGACATGAATTGTTAAAGCTGTGGAGAAAACACCCATGAGTGTTCAAGACTGTGTAACAAAAGAGGGTTGTGAGCAAGTGTGCCAAGTAGTGATTTTAAAAAGTGGTTACGAGAGAGAGAGAGAGAGAGAGAGAGAGAGAGAGAGAGAGAGAGAGAGAGAGAGAGAGAGAGAGAGAGAGACTGAATGGAAAGGATAAGGAGAAAATGAGAAAGAAGGAATCATGAAGAGAGGCAAGGAGAGATTATGGATAGACACAAGCAAGGTAGGATGAAAATCGGGCAAGGTAGCAACAGGGCTGACTGGAGGCCATGAAATCAACTCTGATACATGAAAGTGAATGCTTGAAAGGAGATCTGAGAGAGGTTAGGAAAAGTGACTTGAAAAGAATGGAGGGTGAGTAAAAGAAAAAATGCTGGGTGAGAGAGACTGTGTTTATTAAAATGAAGTCAGGTGTGCTATAGGAAATGGATGGGATTTTTGCAGAATTAAGGAAGGGGATGGTCTTCATGGATAAAGAAACATGTAGCCACAAGGGATGCCCTTTTCATCTCAGGGGAAGTGAGTATAGGAGGCAGTTTGCTCTCCTGTATGTTCTAGAACATATCTAGTGCTGGTGACAAGCTAAAGCTGTCTGTGCACTGGATTTGGTGCTCCATGTGCTGTTGGGGGTGAAGAGTTAGGACTTGGGGACCTTATGGTAGTTACTGAATCCACTTTCAATAATGATCATCATTGCTGGACCCAGAATGGCCCCAGCAAACATGGAAACAATGGGTGTAAGTTAGACAAGACTAAATCTTGTCTGATTCTTAAACAGAGGGGTGCATCATATTGGAAACATGTTTGTCTAGTCACACCCAGGCATCCCACAAGAAAACCAGGATGTGGGTCTAGACCATGTGTTTCAAGTAAAGAAGAGAAAGAGGGGAGTGTCAGGATGAAGGGAACGGGGAAGATGTTCTGAGAACATACACTAGTAGACATCAGAGTGCCTGTTTTTATCCCAGAGTACAAAATGGGGAGAATTATAATATATTGGTTATGACCACTTTGATCCTCAGTTGAATTCATGAGCCTAGAATTTGCTGTCATAGTCCTCTTTTCTTTGTTTTGAAGCCCATGTCCTTGGGCGCTGTGTGGGGTAGGCCCCTAATGTTTTGACAAGATGCCAATTCCTGTCTACTCTGGGAAATCCTTTTGAACTCAAGTTTCATATTCTAGAAACAGATGAATGTCATTGGCACTTGGTGGATTATTTGGAATCCTGAGTTAAGAAGGACAGAAACTGGGTAGTTAATAAGGATTTGATCTTAAGCAGTTTTGAGCTCTGCTCTGTAATGACCCAAGTAGGCTGGCAGGGAAAAACTGGGGAGTGTCCATTTAGTTATCCCATACTTTTCAGAAACTTGTTATTTTCAAATTATCTGAGACTTGGAATAAGTTACAAAAGAATCAGTGCAGAGTGGCCTTACCCTGGATCTAGTGTCCTCCTGCTGATAACATTTCAGTCTATTTTCATCCATCAAAACTGTAGTCTACTTTGAGCCATTTTCCAAACTGAACTCTAGGCTTGCCTTGGATTTCACCAGTTTTCCTGCCTTGTCCTCAGTTTCTGACTGGAAATCACTTCTGTTGCTTTGTAACCTGGCCTTGGTGGTATATGGCAGGAGGGACTCTGGATATTATTCTACAAACGTTGAGGGAAAACAGCAAATTGATAAGCTCCTTTGCTAGTGAACGATATCCCACCTACTTGCTGAATCCACTTTCAATTAGTGCTCATCATTGCTGGACCCAGAATGGCCATAGCCTGACACCCCAAATAATCCAAGAACAACTTAAGAGGAGTAACAATATAAAAGGTTTTTAGGCAGAAGGAAATTCTAAACAGAATAATGGAATTTTTGTTGGTGACAAAAGGGTAAAAAAACAGTATTTTGATCAAGAATTCAAGTGGTACTTGATAGGAGCAGGGATAGTTTGTGGATAGATTATAACACAAATGCAAACCCCTAATGTGAGATAAAACACTCTTTTCAGAGTAGCAGAGATATCTCATTTGCTTAAATGTTCATCCACAATTGTAATAACAGCTGCTAAAGTAAATGCAAACATAACAGCTTCCTGGGAAAAAGTTGAAACTCTAGTTTCATGGATCATGACTTTGGGTTTTCTGTCGGACATTTTTAAGCTGCCATGCTTCAGGGCTACATGATAATAACTGTCTGTGGCTTATGAAGCTCCTAGCACACAAGTGAATATTTTGTGAATTTTATGTTTTCAATAAATAAAGTATGGAAATTGTTATGTACCACAAGTGTGAATTTTGGGAGAAGTATTTTGTTAGAACCTAGAGGACTTCTTTTCAATTACAAAGAAAAAGGAAACAAATGTCCTAAAGCAGTGGATACCCTTGCATCCTTGTGATGGTGAAACTGATTCAGACAGCCATGCACGGTAGTTCTTACAGGAGAGCACAATCTGGCCCCAAATCTAGCTTTTCTGAAGCAAGTTGTTTATTTAGTTTCTTCTGCACACCTTGCCAATAACTTTACAGGTCTTATAGGAGAACAGATGTAAGTTCCAGGGCTGATCTACAATCACAACTGAATATCAAGAGAACATTTGTCAATGGAAAGCACAGACAGCTGTTATTACTGCAAATGTGTTTCCTTAAAAAGAGACTTGGATAATGGGGAAAGGTGGGAGCATCCCTGCAAACACAAGGAGGTTTGTAATCTATACTATTCATCTGCATCATTCTTTGTTATTCAAGGATTCACCTTTTAGCCCGATGTCTGGTAACTGTTCCTGAGGACTAACTTTCTGCAGCAATATGGTAGACTCTTCTATGATGAGGCAACATCTGGGCTTTATTCGACAGGCTGTGGTTGATAATATGTCTTGTTGAGGGCTAAGCAGCAAGTGGATTTAATTTCTGCTTAGAGCTATCACAGCCATCCTAAAATAGAATACATAAAAATCATCTGTATTAGAAAAAGGGGCAGAACATGATGCCAATTGTATATTTTCTTTTCTTTATTTATTCTCTGTAAGTCTGTTGGATGATAAATTGTAAATAACAGTGATTAAAGAGTCATGCTACTGATGGAGCCTCCTTTTTGTCTCAGCAGTCACGGTTCTGGTGGTCTCTGTTATCCTTCCTCCTTACAGGGTTTGAGGAGAAGTGATGAGACATAGGGAAAGACCTACAGGTGCAGCCTGGACATGTGTGTCAGGGCTATCCCACAGGGGCATGTGAATAGGTTTCTGTTTGATACTAGTTAGGCCCTAACTAACATGGCTATGTCTCTGACATATCTAAACACAGTAGAAACTGTGATTTTATATCTTTGCAGTATTGTGCCTACCTGGGAACCTGAGTCTGGAATTTCCACTGTTATTGTTATTGCTATGGAGGTTTTTGTTGTTGTTGTTGTTTGTCTGTTTTGGAAGAGAAACCTTTGCTAAATTCAAACATGGTCTGTCTCAGGTTGCTGATCACACAAGCATAAACCAACAAAATTGTATAAAACTAGAATCCACATTCAGACTTCACAATAGATTAAGGTGGAATGATCTCAAACACATTTTATGTCAACCTGCAGAATAAGTTTCTGAGTACCATGAACACACTTTTTCCAGCACTTGTCACAGTAGATAAGACAATGGGTCTAAATGCCCTCAAAATAGAGTATTCATGATTGCTCTGTCTCTACAATGTCTGGTATTTCGAGACTCAAGACCAGGAATTCACGTACCTGAGTGCTGGAATTGGGATGAAAGTAAAGGAAGCAAGGGGACTGGAGATGTCAACACCTATTGTCCAGGGTTAGGGGACTGGAGATGTCAACACCTATTGCCCAGGTTAGGGGACTGGAGATGTCAACACCTATTGCCCAGGGTTAGGGGACTGGAGATGTCAATACCTATTGCCCAGGGTTAGGGGACTGGAGATGCCATCACCTATTGCCCAGGGTTAACAGCAGGTGGACATGATGATCTGGATTCACCCATGCACAAACACACAGACAAGCTATTCATATACATTTTCATATATTATATATACACATACAATATATACATACATAATTATTAATATATTCATGAATATTTATTTATTCTAATACATAGGTTGATAATGAGGACGGAAATTATGTCTACTTAATTCTTCATTAGCAACTTGCAAGAGCTTGGTTAAGTTGCAGAGAACAAGAAAATTATTTTCCATTTATAGTTTTATATTTATTTCCCATTTGAAGAAGAATTGGCCACATATCTATAAATTGTTCTCTTCTGTAGCCGTTGGATCCTACACAGGATAACACATGACTGTTTACCATTAATGAATTGGGTAAATTCCTATTTAGTTTTGGGACAGACTGAATGCAGTATTTCCAGGGAAAAGGGGTGAAAATTTTAGAGACTCAATTCTGGGAAAGTTTATAAGGACCAAGGATGGAGCTTTGTTATTGGAACAAAAGTTACTTCACTCATCCTTATCTACTGCACGATAAAAGAGCCAGAGATCAGTGCCAGAGCTTAGGGTAGAGACACATTTACTGTATGGAGACTAAATAATGGTAGAGTTGGTACACCTACTATTCAGCTCATATACCAAAGTTTGTCAGTAATGGGTAGACTCACTGTGTACACACTGTTCTGGAACCCAACAGAAGAAGCCCTTGAAAAACACATACTCAAGATGAGTAGTTTGAAATGTTTAAAAAACAAAAACAACTCACTCAGATATGAATTAAAATCTATTTCAATTGGTTTTGGGTTGTGTCCTCCCTATGACATATTATTTTTTAAAAATAAAACATTCTAATCTAACAGTTCAGTCTGTCACTTGAAGGTCACAGGGCCTTGAAGCAGCAACTTTAGTAGAACAAAAGGAAACACCCAGATTTCCTAGAAGTGAAAGAGGAGGAGAGACTTTTTCTGAAGTCTTCTGGGAATCATGCAATTCAAAACTGGTCCTATAGTACCTCATCTGAGACTGTCCCTAGCTGATACATCCAACCTGGCATTGTGATATATTTTCATGGACAAAGTTCACGATGAGAACTACACAATATAGCTTTAAAAAATCTCAAAATAAGCCTCATAATATTTTAAATAAGTTTACAGTTTTGTGTTGGGCCACTTTCAGAGCTACTTTAGGGTGCGTTTAGGATATACCTGCTTGGCCTTAGACTCCATGCTTGCTGACTTCTTTAAAGAAATGGGCTTTCTTTGGGAGCCACATAGTTCTTGATGCTCTCTTACATGTCACTTCTAATCTCCAGGGCTTAAAAAGAATCATTTGGAGCCAAGGTGGCACACCCCTTACCAGCACTCTAGAGGCAGAGACAGGCAGATCTTGGTGATCTCGAGGCCAGTCTGGTCTACAGATCGAGTTCCAAGACTGTCAAGGCTACACGAAGTAACCCTGTCTCCAACAAACAAAAACAAAAAAAGGAAGAAAGGATCCTTTGGGCAAAGAACCTCAAGATTAGGAAGAATTTAGCTTCAAAGCTTTTAGAAAATACTGTTAAGATACCATCTTTGAAGAACTGATCAAAAAATCCATTTTAATTTTTAGGAGTCAGTTGGTACCATTTATCAAAACATCAAGATCAAAATCCAGAAAAGAGGATCTCAATCATTTAGGATCACTGCGATTCATAATCATTACAGTTTTGAAAGAGTCATGATGTTTGTTCAGTTCTACTATGTATTAGTACTTTTAACCAGCTATAAATAGCGAAAGCTAGAATAAGGATTATAAGAGCTGTGCAAGGTGATTATGTAGGAACTGAACTTAATAAAAATTGAGGGCTGTAATTTGAATGCATTTTCCCTTCCTTCCCTCATTAACTAGCTTTTCCCCCACCGCACCCCCTCCAACAAAATACTCATCTGGGATGGCGTGGCGACAAAAAAAAAAAAAAAAAAAAAGGACCTTTACAGAGGCCTGGCAGGCACTGAAGGCGATGACAGCACACATTCCTTTAAGAGTTCTGAAATTCTCATTTCCATTTCACATTCAGAGCTTGAAAATTCCTAATTTACCCGTGACTCTACATAAATAAAGCACAATAAAAATCCACGTTCCTTTTCTCAGAGATCATGCTTGAAAGAGGGATCGGAAGATGGATCTATACTTTCTAAGTAACCTTGGATTTGGGTTCCTGCACCCTACCCTCTGCCAGGGTTCCCCAGAAGCTTTCAGCTCTGCCCACCGGCTCGCCTCACCCCGCCCCCGCCTCGCGGTGACACCGCCTGCAAACTGAGGGTGAGGACTGCCTGGATTGGCTAGGACCTCTGTGTCACGGGGCTCCGCCCCTCGGCCTATCTCACCCCACCCGGCCCCGGCGTGGAGAGGGGATGCCGGGCTGCAATTGGCTGCCCTAGGCGGGGACGGATGACGCAAGGAGAGGCGGGGCCTGGCGGAGCCTTGATTGGTCGTGGTGCTTAAGGGCGCGGATCCTGGTCCCTTCTGTAAGCGGCCGTGGTCGCCTGGGCAGATTAGCTTTGCTGCGCTTTGTGCAAGATGAGGAAGGTGGCTTTGATCACCGGGGCGAGCAGGTGAGGCCTCCTACGGAACCCTGGAGGCTAAGTTTCGGGTGCGGGGAAACGCGGGTCGGTGACCCTGGACTCACTTAGGTGGGGATTCTGCGGAGACCTGCTCTACCCTTCTCTGGGCCTCCCAAGAGGCGTGGTCATGCTTGCCTCTCTGGGTGCTTGGTATCACGTGCTTTGAATTAAACATGACAGTGGAAAGGAAAACTAGAGCGCCAGTTACTAATCAGCCTGCTGTGCTCTCAAGGGACCTGGCGGTTCCATTCAGACTCCGCCACCTCCCTATCAGTGACAAGGCTCCAGTAGTTTCTGTAGGTACCCCCACTTCACTTTAACCCTAAACACGCGGTGTGTCTAACACCGCGGTGTTTAAATGTCAGCATCCATGAATTTTAGGAGAATGGGGAGATTGCATTTCTGCAGCACACTTCTCATACACTCCCCAGGAACATACAGAACGATCAGTCGCCTCCTGTTAAGGCTTTCCCTAATCAGTCACCAGTTCATAGATTTTCCAGGCTTGCTCAATTGACCCTTGGCCTACTTTATTGCCTTCTAGATTTCTTATTTGTTCACGAAGAATGTGCAGGGGACGAAACTGTCCAACCTTACCCCAGCTGGTTACATTGATATTTTTGAGAAACTAACACTGATCTAGCCATGTTCATATTAAGTAAGCCAGTGTAGGAGGGGTCTCTCTTGAACTTTTGGTTAGTCTGCCCTTTCTTTTAGGTCAATTGGTTTTGGTGGTTCTTATGTGGGAGGTGCATACGGAAGTCAGGCCTGATCTTGTGTTTCTTTGATATACATTGTGGTATGTGCAATTGGATATTTATACTAAAGGTATGCTATTTTGAAGTAAGAATGATTAGGCCCTTATATGTCTGATACTCCTGGCAGGGCCACCAGATTATGTGAGTTCCAGACTCACTTGGGGGTTCTATTTGCTGGCAGTCTGTCTGCATGAGAATTTGCTAGTATCCAGGATGTCATTGCTACCAGCAACTGGCCCCACCTGCTGGGCACTTTGATATTGTTCTTTCTGACCTAGTGTATCTAAAGCCTCAGTGGACTTCTATGCTCAACCCTGCTTCTCTGTCTTTCCTCCATCTGACTGTATTCCTACCTTCTGTCCACTTGCACTGAGTACAAGTTTACAATGCCAAGAACACTTGGTTTTGAGGGACCTAGGCAGCACAAGAGAATGGGGAGATAATAAACAGCTATTACGATCCTCTTGACAGCATTGCTGGGGATGTATTAAATTACAACCTAACAGGTACTTTGCACCCTACCCTGTGTCACTGAACTATTTTAGAGGTGAGCAACTAGATGTGAGCCGAATCAAATGACTCATGGGGTGGGGGATTCCATCCTTCACATGGTGTTTGGGTGTTTTCTGTCTGCGTGGGGTTCTCATTGGAGCTCATGTTGACACAATCAGGTTTCTGAACCAGAGAGAAATGCCTCAATTTAGAACCATGTCGATGAACTCCTGCCCTGTGCCTGAATTGTCTTCTTAGTGGCATTGGGCTCGCCCTTTGCAATCGGCTGCTGGCAGAAGATGAGGAGCTGCACCTGTGTTTGGCGTGTCGGAACCTGAGCAAAGCAGGAGCTGTCCGTGATGCCCTCCTGGCCTCTCACCCCTCTGCCGAAGTCAGCGTTGTGCAGATGGATGTCAGCAGCCTGCGATCGGTGGTCCAGGGTGCAAAGGAAGTCAAACAGAAGTAGGTCTCCTTTTGACAGCTTGCTTTCTCGTGTGGTAGTGCAGCATAACATTTATCGAACGAGAAAGGACAGTGAGGTACGGGAAGGTAATGGGTGTCCTGTAAAATGAATTGTGCGGAGGGAATCTACAGAATGACCTCAGAGCCCAGTTGGCAAAAGCTTCATTATGTCTGGCACCAGGTCTTTCCGCCTACAGCGTTCTCTTTGGGTGGAACTCACAAGAAATACTGAAGCTGTTTTTTATCTAGATAGAGACACTAGGCCAATCCTTTCATCTTTGAATAAATTAATTATATGGTTTGATTGAAGCCAGAGTTCATTTCCACATTTTACTAAGCATTGCTTCTTCATGCCTAGCAAAATAAGTTGCTATAACTGAAGTTTGTAAATTAGCTAATAGAACAATTGATCTGAGGTCCCACTGGCTTCACTTGCATGATGAATGGTGGTTATAGTGGCAACAATGTCATTACTTTAAATAGTCATTTTAATAATTTGGACCATAAGGTTATTATATAGTATGATCAAGAAAGGCTGGTGCATAATCTGTATTGTCAGGCAAGTATATATCTCAAGGTCCAGTTTTATTAGCTGTGGATCTGTCCTGGGTTACATAGAAAACACAGTGTGGTGCTTAGAATTCTGGGAGATACTCTCAGCATGGATATTGCCTGGGTATTGTGGGAGCATGTACTGCCTGCTTTGATCCTGCTTCCAAAGGGATGTATTTCTGTTAAGGCTTATGGAATTTCAAAACTGAAAAAGCTCACCCAAGTCCCCATTTCTCAGTTACTCCATGACATGTATTCTGGAGCAAGCCCACTGAGAATACCTAATCCCCATAGGGCATGTATAGTTTCAGCGTATGAGAGTGACCATTAATCAATTTATAATATGTAACTCCTGGTTGTGGACACTGAGTGGTTTCCACTTGGGTCTTCTGTTTTGGTAGATATCAGGCTATCCAGATTCCAGCGCTGATAGGTGCAGTCAAGCCTGCTATACATTGTGTAAATTTAACTTGTCAACTATGGAAGATGTGAGCTGGTTAAAAAAAAAAAGTACAGTAACTTTGTAAAAGGAGGAGGGGGTAGAGAGGAAGGATGAGTTTTATAGAAAGTTCTTCAGTGCCTAATGGGTGGGCCACAGTTGGATTTTCCTGTGGTGATTTATCTTGAAAGCCTACCAAAACCACCCAGAGCAAAGATACTCATTGTGGCTGGAGAAGCTGTTGAGAAAGAACCATTTCAACACTGATGTCATAGCCTGGTTCACAAAGGGTTTTTCTGTCCTTGGACCTTCTGTGTCATCTTTTCTAATAATGTCATTTTGACATTTTGCTTGCAGGTTTCAAAGATTAGACTACTTATATCTGAACGCTGGGATCATGCCCAATCCCCAGTTAAATATCAAAGCATTTTTCTCTGGCATCTTTTCAAGGTAATTTTCATGTTCTAGACCAGTGGTTCTCAACCTGTGGGCCATGACCTATTGGGGTGTTGGGGGGGAATCAAATGACCCTTTCAAAAGGGTCACATATCATACATCAGATATTTATATTGCAATTCATAACTAGCAAAATTGCACTTATGAAGTAGCGATGAAAATAATTTTATGGTTGGGGGGGTCCCCACACAATGAGGAACTATATTAAAGGGTTATAGCATTAAGAAGGTTGTGAACCACTGTGCCGGATGAGCTGATTTCAAGGAAGGCATTCCTTTTGCCTTTGGTGTGTGTGTTGAGTGAGGGGATGCTGAGGAGGATGAAGTTGTATAGAAAGGAGGAGTTGGTACCTTAGTAGGCAAGTCAAGTACGCATCTTTGTGGAGAACACTGCACGCTGTCATGGTTTTTATAATGTTCTAAGTCTCTGGAACATTCCATATCATTAGGTGGTTCATGTCATCAGCTTTTGGTTTGGCTGAATGTGCTGCCGGCAGAGCCTTTCTGGAGAAAGTGACATTCTTAGACAGCCTCCAGCACCTAGCAGGCTGCCTAGAGATGTGTCAGCTATGCTGACCAGTAAACCGAGGGCATGCAGAGAACCAGCGTCTGCCTGAGAGAGTCTCAGTACACACAAGTGGCTTCCAAAGCTATCTAACCACTATGAACCCGAGTTAGAAATAAGTCTTGTTTGTGACCCAATGCATGTATTCATAGAGCTTTTTGATGTGGGCTTCATATCCAGTTTCTTTTTACTTTTCTTCCATGAAAAAACGAAGCATGCACAAATCCTGCTACTAAGCTGATAAATAAGACACTTTGTTAGACGGTCCATTGAATGATGCTCTTAGACTTCCTACCGAAAAAGATGACCTGACTAAATTGTTTTCAGTAATTAAACACTTGATATGGGTGAAGACTTTTTCTCATCGGCATAGCTGCGATTGCCTGATAGTTTACATGTGATCTGTTTGGGTAGTGGGAAGAGGAAAAGCATGTTAGGTACACCTGTGAATTGGGGGAAGAAGCATTAGTAACTCATTTAATACCCACAGTGTCCAAGAAATTGGTATTTTGTCATTATAGAATCAAAGAAGGTGTGTGTGTGTGTGTGTGTGTGTGTGTGTATGTGTGTGTATGAGTAACATCTTTAGTATTTTCAGTTAAAAGTGCTGTTTTCTTCTGCTATTTCAGAAATGTGATTCATATGTTCTCTACAGCAGAAGGACTGCTGACCCAGAATGATAAGGTCACTGCTGACGGTTTCCAGGAGGTGTTTGAAACCAATCTCTTTGGCCACTTTATCCTGGTAAAAAAAGGCTTGGGTCATACTAATTCCATACTTATTACTGGATCCGGAGGGCATGCATGGACACAGGACTGTTTTGTGAAGCTCCTTAGTTTATGGTTAACATTAAATCTTGGAGAATTTAAATGTGTTCACCCGCCTCTGAAAATGTGATTTACCCAGAGAATGGAGGAAGCAGATTACTGGACACCCAGTCACCTTTAGAAACAATGTACATAACAGCATAAAAAAGCACATTAGTTCTGTTCTAAGTAATTCTACAAACTGGGCTTGACAGAGTAAGCATACTGTTATTAGACACTGATACAGAGTTGACTCTTCATTATCATGGTCTCTTCTTAAGTGTCCATAATTGGAAGTACAATTCTAGACACATATAGCAGATTCAGCATGAGATGCGTGACTTATCTAGAGTGTTATGTGATGTTGCCTCCAGCTCATGCTTATGGGACAGCTTTCATAGTACCTGAGAAGTGACGGCCCACACCTACATCCCAACACTTAGGTTGAGACAGGAGGATTGCTGCAAGTGAGAGCCTGCCGAAGAATGATGACGACAGTAGAGTTTAGACCTTTCCATGTTAACCTGGCTTGAGGTGGTTTGTCAGGCTTCCCCACTGTGAAGCCATGCTCCCTCTTCCATACTAAGTGTTCAGAAGAAAGTTCTTGTGTGTAACCCATACACAAGGAGTTGAACTTCAACTTCCTAAAGATGGATTATCTATAGAAATTGTTTGGAATTTTTCTTTCAGGAAAATTTCTCTCTTCCATTTTTTAAAAAATTCAATTAATTTTGTAATTATGTAGACTTGTGGTTATATGTTTTCTATATTAAAGTTTTTCATTTAAAAATGGTATTTCTCAGCTAAGTGGTGATAGTGCTCGCCTTTAATCCCAGTACTTGGAAGGCAGAGGCAGGTAGATCTCTGTGAGTTTGAGACCAGCCTGGTCTACAGTGTGAGTTCCAGGACATCCAGGGGGTTACACAAAGAAACCCTGTCTCAAAAACAAAACAAAAACCAAAAACCTGCAGGGTGGTGGTGGTGCACACCTTTAATCCCAGCACTCTTGAGGCAAAGGCAGGTGGATCTCTGTGAGTTTGAGACCAGCCTGGTCTACAAGAGCTAGTTCCAGGACAACCTCCAAAGCCACAGAGAAACCCTGTCTTGAAAAACCAAACCAAAACAAACCAAAACAAAAAAACCAAAACCCCAAAAAACAGACAAGACAAACAAAAATGGTATTTCTCCTCTCTTTAGTTTTTGTAATATATACTACTTATTAAATATGTCACAGAATGGTGATTAGATGTATTTATATGATTATCCCTACAAGTTTTTCTTATTTTTATCTTTCATTATGTAAGCCAAGATGAACTGCTATCAGAAACAAAGATCTGGTGCTTGTTGCTACTGAGATGTGAATAGCTCTCGGCCCTCTCTGCTAATGAACCAAGGAGATAAATGTGTATATGCTAACTTCTGGGTGTATGCATATCCATACATGTCTGTAGCCAGTCCAACATGAGGGAATACTGATGCCTCTAACCCTAATTCATTGCTGCCTGTAAGCCTTTTTTAGCTTCCTCCTCTTGCGACGTAAGAAACCTGTTCTCTTCGCCCTATCCTCATCCCTTTACTTCCTGAATTCAAGCATACATACCCAGTAGTTTTGGATTGTTGGCATATACCCTTCAGTGGATTGTGATATCTTTTATCCTGTGTCTCCACTCAGATCCGGGAGTTGGAACCTCTTCTCTGCCACAGCGACAGCCCCTCTCAGCTCATCTGGACCTCCTCTCGCAATGCGAAGAAATCTAACTTCAGTCTTGAGGACATCCAGCACACCAAAGGCCAGGAGCCCTACAGCTCTTCCAAATACGCTACTGACCTTCTGAATGTGGCTTTGAACAGGAATTTCAACCAGAAGGCAAGGCCCTTGTCAGAGATGCAGAAGTTAACCATCAGAGTCACTGTTTATAGAGCATGTCTGGCTTCCGCTAACCATTGTAACAAAAGCCCTATGGGTGAGAGAGAAACAGTTCCAGTCCTTTTAGCAATATGCCGTTTATTTACCGTTCTGCATTCTTTAGGAACTCTGACCTCTGCTAACAGAACAACCACTAAGTACTTCTCGTTCTGTACTCTTCTCCTGTGATGTCATTTAGTGTCTTCCCCACTGTGGTTTTCAGATGAGAACACTCAAGTTTGGAGAAGTGGGGTCGTGTATGCAATGTCACATGACTTGTGAATGGCAGACATTACAGCGGAGTGCCAGGCTGACTGACTTATTCTCTACTAAGCTTCGTGCCTTTTAGCCTCTGTCATGTGGATGACTCAAAGGCAACCAGATGTTATAAACCTTCTGGAAGGTGATGATGAGACTCTGGAGCTCTGTGAGGTTATAGCTTATATAAAGAGGGAAATAATCCTTATTGTTCATGCTGGCTTCTACTGACTGTGGTCGCCTAGAATTAAGGCTGCTGTGTATTAACTCATTGCCCAGGTCCAAGATCTTAACAGGAATTCTTGTCTTTCCCTTGGGCCTTTTCTGGTTGTCATTACAGCTTGGAGTCAGTGTGTTGGTCCAACCATGAGTTTCCTTCTAAATTTTTGGGATCTTTAAATCCAAGTCCTGTCAACACGCCCCTTTTAGAAGGCAGAGTCAAGCTGAAAATGTCAAGCATAAAAGGTTCTGGGATTTTATTTACATTTTAGTTGCCAAGCAAGGTGTGGGATTTTATCTTTTTAAAAGGACAGTGAGAGTGATTAAGCTGACACAGCTCTGTCTTAAAGTCTGTCGGAATTTGTTTTCAGCCTACCATTTTTCTTTTTCGGCATTCCCAAGAAAGGAAAACTTAGAAAGAATTACACTGGGGTTCCGTTGGAAGCATTTCTAATCATATCTTCCATAGTTTTAGTTTGCTGTTTGAACAGATTTCTCATTGTTTGTTTATTTGTCTGTGTGTTTCTGTTTTTGTCTTTTTGGTGCTGGGGGTCAAACCTGGGGCTTTGCACTTGGTGCCCTACCGCTTGAGCAATGACCTCAGTTCTCCAGTGATGGGTTTGTGTCTTTTCTCTGTATCTCTGTCTCTCTTCAGCATCTCGTAGATCCCAGGCTGGCCTCAGACTTGGTATGTAGCTGATGGTGGTGCACACCACCACCTGAGCTACACTCCAGAGCAACCAAGCTCCTGTGTTTTGAGACAGGATGTCACTATGTAACTTTGACTGGCCTTGGACTGTTATGTAGTTCAGATGAGTCTCAAATTCAAAATTCTGCCTCTTTATAAGGGCTAGGGCTAGAGGAATGACCATGTCCTACTTTTTATTTAAAAGGGGAAAAAAACCCAGAGAGAGCAAGAGATTAAAGTAGCAAGAATGAGTTAAAATAGTCACTCTAAAAGGAATATAAAATGTAGTAAAATTAATTCCAGAGCCGTAGAACTTAGTATGGTTGGCACAGGGTAATTATTACTACCATAATCACCATATTAATTGAGGCTTTCTTTATAGAGCCATATATACATATATGATAGATCCTTACATAGTGATCAGTCCTTCACTAAGGACCTGGCTGGAGATCTTGAGTTGAAGGTCTTTGTTCCTCCTGATGTCAACAGCATTCAATTCAGCTATGTTCCTACCTTCCTAATGCTGCGACCCCTTTAGTACAGTTCCTTGTGTTGTGATGACCCCCAACCATGAAATTATTTTTGTTGCTATTTCATAATTATAATTTTGTTACTGTTATGAATCATAATATAAATATTTTTGAAGTTAGAAGTTTGCCATAGGGGGTGCAACCCACAGGTTGAGAACCTCTGCTATAGGGAAACAGCATGTATTTTAAATTTGGTCACTGTATTTAATTAATCAGAAACTAATTGAAGGCAAAAATTAACCCCAGTAAGGCTGCTATATACTTCTTGGGATTGATGAATTGACCTTTAATTAAGCCAGTAATAGAAAATCTTATTAATCAGACCTCCCTTTCCTTTCCCGTCATCATGATTGGCTTGTCTTTAAACTATAAAGTTTTGAGAATAGACCTCATCTTGCTAACTTTTGCCTCCTGATCCTAGTAAGTGACTTTAGATTTAAATGGTCCTCCTAAGGGACAAGGACAACTGAGAGCACAAACTTGCCATTCCCCAGTTTTCTGGCTCGTGTGTGTGTGTCTTTCATTAATGAGCATCCCTGAACTGAGTCAATATGCATCTAATTAAAATCTTAGTGCTACTCTCCTCTGTGTTCCCAGGGTCTGTATTCCAGTGTGATATGCCCGGGGGTAGTATTGACCAATTTGACATATGGAATTCTGCCTCCCTTTGTGTGGACTTTGCTCCTGCCAGTGATGTGGCTGGTAAGTGGTAAACATTTTCTACTTAAATTCAGAGTTCAACTCTAAGTGGCAGACTTCCATTTGACTTGATGCTTTTGATATGATATGCTGTAATTATAGATGCAAATTTTCTTTCTTAAATCTAAATGAAAAAGTTGACTTTTTGTTCCTGCTCTGAACAGCCACGTAATACCTATTGTTTTCTTTTTGTCAGCTTCGCTTTTTTGCAAACGCTTTCACCTTGACACCGTACAATGGAGCAGAGGCATTGGTACGTTGCTGGAGTTTCATAGCCTATAAAGTGACTTAGTGATGGAATGTGTAAGGCAGTGAGCAGTGTTGGGGTAACAGCTGTAAGGCAGTGGTTCTCAGCTTCCAAGTCACAACCCTTTCACGGGGGTCAGATAGATAGATGTACTTCTCATTCATCACGGTATAGATTGTAATTATAAAGACCGCATTCTACTGCGTTTGTCTTTTAATTAAAAGCTGAACATACCCGTTACAGCTCATGCCCAAGATGGGGTCCTGTACTTTCAAAAGCAAGTGAAACAGCTCGGTATACACAGATTTGAAAATTTGCAGGTGTGACGTTCAAGGGAAAACTTCTGTATGTCATGCTTCCATGTAAGAGAGAAGGACATGTGCTTCTAAATGCAGAGACATTTTTGGCATGACCACACATGATAGAAGAGAGGGTTACTCCCGGAGATGCTAGTTAAGTGGCTGCGAAACAGGAAAAGGAAGGCGACTTCCTTTTTATGCAGTGCACATCTACTGGACACGTGCATCTTCTCACTGGTAAAGCGTCCCAGCGACCTGGGATGTGCTGTGTGCTAACCGTGACACTAAATAAGCCAGTGAGTGAGACATGACTTTATGCGGGAATTAAGGGAGAAGATGGGCTGGGTTTATTTATTTATTTATTTATTTTTGCTTAGATTAGCTCTCAAAAGTCTACTGTGAAGCAGGCTGCCTTATATTCTCCCTTCAAAATACGACAGCAATTTCCAAACACATTTAGATTGACTGGTGCTTTTTGAGAGGAATCTTGCAATTTCACAGAGACCTTTGTAAAGTACTGGTGGCAAATGCCACTTGCTTTGGGCAGCAGCAATGTCACTGATATGCTTTTCCTTTCCAGGTGTGGCTTTTCCACCAGAAACCCGAGTCTCTCAATCCTCTGACCAAATACCTGAGCTCCACCACAGGCTTCGGGACCAATTATGTCAAGGACCAAAAGGTAAGTCCGTCTGTGTTGTCACATGGAAGATGCTGCCAGTCTGAGGCACTGGGCCCATGATGCTGACCAGTGAGCCCCACAGCTTCTGTACCTGAGTCTTCCCTGGCACGTCATGGTTCATGTCATTGCTTTCTGCTTCCTCCTGTGTCAGAGCTTTGGGCATGTTCTTCCTGCTAAGCCACTCTTAGTGTGTTCCTACTGATGTCTGTTCATCCTTCAGGTCTCATCTTCTCAACCCTCTCTGTGTCTCTTTAGACAGGGCCCTATGGCCTGTTGTGGATTTCTCATTCCTAATCTCTGTAGCACTCACCCTCAGCTGCCCCTGTCAGTGAATATGCTCTGCAAGAGGGATCATACCTGCATCCCTTGTATGCTGCCTCATGTGGAGACTTTTAATAAATCCATCATGAGCTGTCTGGAACATAGAGCGTCTTTTCTATGTGACGTTAACATCTCTTGGAATGTTCATTCTGCTTGAGGTTATTATCACCTTTGTTAGGCAGATGTTTTGAAGAGGCAGAGGGTAGAATAGGGAAAATCAAATCATTTTATTTTTTAAAAAATCATATAGAATTACAGTGGGGGAGAGTGAGAACATCTACTTAGGACTACAAGAGCATGCTGTAGCTTTGTCACTGGTAAGGTATAATGTAGTAGACTCCTGTTGTTCTCTGCCCAGCTTTGCTGAGGATGCATTGGTACAACTGGATTGAGGCAGTTAAGCGGCCTCTGTCAGTTTGGCAGCAGCATGAGTCCAGTGACAGCCAGCCTTGTTGTGTGTTGCTACTCATGTTACCTGCTAGTAAAAACCTGCCTTTCATCTTTTCGGAAGCATGTTGTGTTGGATACTAGTGACTTGAGAGCATTTTCGAGAAGTGGTTCCCCAGGCAGGTAGAGTTGAACAATCCTTCGTCATTCCCTTGCTGGCTTCTCCATGGTTCCCCAGGCAGGTAGACTTGAACAATCCTTCGTCATTCTCTTGCTGGCTTCTCCACAGTATGTTAACCCAGAAATGGCTTTGAGTTGTTGAAACAGTTAAGTGGTGTAGAGGTGACATGGTTGATTGTTGGTCTTGGTATTTGCAAATTGTTCTTTATTGCATTTTGTTGTTGTTGTTGTTTTGTTCTAAGACAGGGTCTCACCATGGAACTCTGGCTTACTTGGAACTCTGGCTTAGTTAGGGTTTCTGTTCTGTGATGAAACACTACGACAGAAGCAACTTGAGGAGGAAAGGGCTTATTTAGGCATCTTACACTTACACATCACAGCCCATCATTGAGAAAAGCCGGGGCACGAGCCTGGAGTCAGGCACTGAAGCAGAGCCATGGAGGGTGCTGCTTATTGGCTTGTCCCCGATGGCTTGCTCACTTTGCCTTATGAAGATAGCACCCAGGACCATCATCCCAGGAATGGCACTGCCCACTGTGTGCGGGTTCTCCCACATGGTTCATCAACCAAGAAAATGTAGCACAGTCTTGCTCACAGTCCAGGCTCGTGGAATCATTTTCCTCAACTGAGGTTCCCTCTTCCAAAATGACTGTAGCTTGTGTTAAGATGACATAAGGTTAGCCCTCACTAACTGGTTATTTACCCAGGTTGGCCTGTAGTGCCTGGCCACAGGGATATGCCTGCCTCTGCCTTCTGAGTTCTGGATTGAAGATAAGTACCATCATGCTCCATGCTCTGAGTTTTGTTTGTTTATTTGTTTTTTTAAAACTCAAGTTGGAGTTAACTCAAATCCTTAACATCTAAAATGATACATTTTGGGAAACTCTGTTGCAATTTAATAAGATTACTTTAGGACCTTCAGAGTTTATTTAAATTATTTAAATTTGCTATCTTATAACCCTACAGGGACTCCTCAAGGGGGGAAAATGTTTAATTTTACAAACCCAAGCATTTCATAAATTTTCATAGAATTTTAGCCTCTGATTCATTTGGAGGAAATCTGCTTTCCCTCTGTTGAAGGACGGGGGATCTAGTGATGGACCTTGAGGGAGGGAGTCATTGTCTTCGCTGTGTGTCCACTGGTGAGTGCTCCATGCTGCTGTGGACTGCCTCAGCCATGCAGATGTGGACCACCCCGGTTAAACCCAGTATGCCACAACACAGAGACAGACCCGTGTGAAAGCAGGAAGAGGGAGTAGGGGTGAGTGGGGATGAATGTAATAAGAATGCAGAATTGTCCAGGAACAAATTTACCTTTAAAAACATAGGCAAGATTGGACAGGAGTGATCTGTAACATTTCCAATTTCAAAATGAAGAGCAGGATTAAATGAGAATAATTGTTATGGCCAAAATGTTAATAAGTTTCCTTAATCTGTAGCTTTTTGGTTTTAAGAAGATCCCATTTTGCTGACTTGGAAAAAAGAAAGTCTAGCTGTAGGAGCTCAGAGGTGGTTCTTACCATCTTTTAAAGTGAGATTTTTCTGCAAGAAGAGCAAGAATGCAAAATAGTAGTGACTTAAGACAAACTCTCCAGTTTCTTGCACGTAGAAGCACTCTGGAAGGGGATGGACATCTATAGGAAATCAGACTGTAGGTTTCCTTTCTCCCCCTTTTCCTTAGCAGTTGGTTGGGTGCTAGGAAACAGTAGGAAAAGACACTCGCATTTCATATCTTTGCAAGCAGCAGGAGATTTGGTGAGCGCTGAGTTTCTGTGAATATTAACGCCCTCAGTATTTCCCAGCAGTCCCTGGGTGGCCCCATCTGCCCCTCCCTAGTTTCCAGTTCTTTTACATCCATGGACTCCCCATCTCTTACGTTCATGCTGTTTGTTTTGTTTCTCTTTTGCAGTCATCTCTATCTGTGCTTGTTTTCCAGATGGACATAGATGAAGACACTGCTGAGAAATTTTACCAAACCTTACTGGACCTGGAAAAGCGAGTTAGGATCACCATGGAAAAATCAGATCACCTGAGCTGATGCTGACAGTCTCCAGAGCATCCGGTACCCGCTGCACATCCCGGGATGTGTGGCTGTCCACGTGCTGGATGATGCGATGATGTGCATCTGTAGTAAACCATCAGCCATGATGATCTCTGCTGCTACCTTTCTGAATGAATGATCTCCAAGACTGTGTGTGTGCACTTGTGCAGGCATGTACACATGTATGAGAAAGGATTGGCAAAATAGAGGAACCAAGTAAATACCCTCCAATAGTGTCCTTTCAGATTGCTAGAGTTTCCTGCAGAGCATCTGCATGCAGCATTCTGCTACCTGGAGCCAAGTGATGAGACTTGAGTGACTGGGCCACAGGTGCAGCCTGAACCTCCTTTCAGTCCCAGCAAGTCTAGCTTCTTTTCTTGTTTCTGTGATGGTTTTCCTACTCTCTGTTGTCTTCTTCATCTGCTGCTCTGGATAATCTCACAGGATCGTCCACCCCATGCGACTGTCCACACAGTCAATCTCAGGAGCACAGTATGAATGCATTTGGACCACATACATTGTTTCTTCTCTTTAAAAGCAGTTTTGTTTTTATCAGGTAGTGGAGCCGAATCTTTAGTTAACATCTTCAGACGTACTCGTAAGAACAGCCTATCATCATGATAGTATTTCACTGAAATTAAATTTAAAGCAAAAATTATTCATATTCATGTTTCAATACAATAAAAAAAACTTGAGAAACTGCTATTAGGCCATGTGCTGGCATCTGGTTAACAATGGAAGTAGAAGGAAATAGTTAATTTTTATGTGTCAGTTTATATGATAAATTTTTCAAACGTTTTCTCTGTAAAACTTAAAGAGCCATTTACCTGAGCATCCTTTGCTATGAAGCAGAATGCTAAAGATGGCTAGATATTTTTATCATGAATAAAGCCATCCTAATCACTTGGGATATAATAAAGTCAGTAAAATTTTTAATAAAAGTCCAAAAAAACATAAATATGATTTCTCTATAGCTTATGCTATGGAATTTTTCTGATTAGAGTTTCTCTAATTTTGTTGACAAAGATTTTTTTTTGTAAATATGCAGATGAGGGCTGGAGAGATGGCTTGGTGAATAAGAACCTGGCTGCTTTTCTAGAGGTTCTGAGTTCAATTCCCAGCAACCACATGGTGGCTCACAACCATCTGTTGTGAAATATGGTACCTTCTGGCATGCAGGCATACATGCAGGTAGAACACTGTATATATATAATAAATAAATAAACCTTTAGAAAAATACAGATAAAAATGGGTGCACGCCCCTCCCCCATCTCTGGCACATGAGGGTGGAGCTTGCGCGGGGCTTGGTTCATTCTTTATCCACTCAGAACTCCCGTTTGGAAAAGGCTCTTTCTCCAAAGTGAGCTCACATTTATTGTATAAGGTGAAACCTCTTTGCTCTTTTACTCACGGGTTTACAGTGAGGAGGGAATTGACGGTCTGTGTGGACCGTGAACACCCTCATTTTGTAGAGAATGATGGAGTCCCTTAGCAGTCAGTAAACCAGAGTGCCGGGGTCCTGATTCTGCGCATAAGGCACCAATTGACCACGGCCCTTCTGACAGTCGGTTCTGTTGCTCCAGCATTTCCAGGAGACAGCATGCATGGAGCACTGCAGGATGGGATGGGGAGGATTATGGGCCCTGGGGCTGGGTAGTCATAATCTAAACTGGCCTTGAGAGAGAAGAATAGCTTAGGTTTTGGTTATTTTTGAGTTGGAAAAACATGTCCCTTTCCAATGTTGTCAATTTATGAACATCAGATTATGCATTGTTTCTTCTTGCTGGCTGCATTAGTAATTCCCTCTACTTTGTTCTTGATGCTGGTATCTTTCCATTGCCAATAGTGCAGGAGGTTTCCCATTTTGCTGGTGTTTTTCAAAGACCCATGTTTCTGCCTTACTGATCTTTTTTCTTTTTTAATCCCCAGTTGCTTATATATTTTCCATAGAGATTTTAGCTATGCTTGTTTTAATTATCTTCTTTTTCTCCCTTAGGGTTAAAATAAACCATTTTTTGTGTTTCTTGACATAGAAACTTAGGTTACTTACTAAGAAGTTTTTCTTCATGGCTGGTGTAAGCATTGATGACATAAATGCCCCTTTCAGCATCTTAACTGCATCCCATGTCTGCTGACCTGCTGCCTTGCTTTTATTTTCTTCTTTTTAGGTCCTGGGTTGTCTTATTAATTTCTGTTGAGATTTCCTTCTATGAATTATTAAAAGTGTTATTTAGTGTTCATATTGTTTTTAGAGATTTAAAAGATTAGTGTTTGGCTGGGGGATGGCTCAGTGGTTGAGAGCACTGGTTGCCCTTCTTCAGGACCCAGGTTCGATTCCCTGCACCACACAGTGGCTCACAAACATCTGTAACTCCAGTTTCAGGGGGATCCAATGCCCTTCTTCTGGCCACCATGCATACCAGACATGCATATGACACATAGGCATACATGCAGACAAAACACCTGTATACAGGAAAATAAATAGTTCTTTTCAAAGTTGGCAGTCGATTGGGATTTTCTAGTTTCATGTTGGTGTCATCAGAATACTCTGAATCCTATTTCTGTATTAAATGTTTTGGGTTTTATTTATGGCCCAGGATCTTTTCTACCTGGAATATTCTGTGGATTTTCTTTCACATCATGCCTGCTTGTGTTTCCTCTTTGGAACACTGGAGATTGCTCTCTTTGTGCTTTTCTGGCAGGTGTTGTGTGGGAGGGCCACACTGCTCTATTGAAAGCAATTTTTCTCATTTCTCCATCAGCCTTCATTCTGCTCTAATTTCACTCTTCTATTTCTGTCTCGTGTTCAGTCAGTGTTTCTTGTTCTATGTCCATTTCTGGTTTTAGGTTCAAAATTTTAATTCATTTATTCTTAATTTATTTTATTATTTATTTATTCTGCATGCTTGGGCGTATTGAGTTCAGGGCTATAGAGTCCATCTCCTCCCTTGAGGTTGATTCCCTGGGGAGGAGTGCTGCATCGAGTTGCCAACTGGAGGGTTTTTGTTTTGTTTTGTTTTGTTTTTCATTTTGTTTTCTTCACTCTTCAAGTGAGGTCTTTGAAAGTTGAATTTAAAATTTCATCATGCCCCCTCAGGTTTTATCATCCTTATCAACAGCACATTTATTTGAGGTCCAGAGAGATGGCTCAGCACTTAAGAGCTCTGACCGCTCTTCCAGAGGACCCAGGTTCAAGTCCCAGCACACACATCTGGGCTCACGATCATCTGTAACTCAAGTTCCAGGGGCTCCGGTGTTCTCTTCTGGCCTCTGGGGTGCTGGACACACAAGAGGTGCACAGACACATGTGTAGGCAAAATACTCGTGCACATAAAAATATAAGAAGAATCCCAAGTTAAAAAATATTAATTTGGGGGAAAAATAAAATTGTGATAAAGCTGAAACCTGTGCACATCACCAGGTGCTTTCCTTCTTTCCCTATAAGATTCCTCCTGATAGACATCTAGAAGCAGGCTGCTGCCCTGTTTCCTCTTCCTGCTCCTCTCCAGGCTAACCTGGAGTGTACCCTCCTATCCTACCTAGAGGATCCTAAGCACATTTGAAGCCTCCTTTCTGAGAGATATATACTAGGGTTGATTTTCCTTGTATTGATAGAGGGTGCTTTAAAAATTACCTGTTTGCATCAAGCTGTGTGTTTATATATCTTACCCTTTCCTATTTGATTTTCAACCTTTGATTATAAGAGATATGATTTAATTAATAGAGAATGAAGCTCTTGCCTACAAACCATTTATTTATCTAATTTGTAGTTGTTTCTGTTGTTATTGTCCTTTGACATACCAAAGGATCAGCTCCAAGACCTTCTGTTGTTGTTACTCATAGTTGTATTTCTAGCTTTCAATCAATGACTGGCAATTTCTAAGCTCTTGATAAATGCATGAACAGTTGATTGAACAAGTGTTTGTTTGAATAAAAGTATGCTATGTTTCTTTCAGGGTTAGTTGATTTTTTTTTATTATACCAAAATTAAAACCACTTATAATTTATCTTGATTTGGAATAATAGTCATAATACCAAGCTAGAGTTTATTGAGGCTCTGTTATTTTCTAATTTTAGTACATTATGTTATACTAATAAATATGTGTCCTTCTCATTATTGTCTGAACTTGCAAGTTAATGCTTGAAGAACAATTTGACAATGTTTATCACAAGTTAAAGTACATGTGCCTTTAGCAATTCAGCATCTCTAAATTTATCCTCAAGATATAACTCAAATATATATAAAGTGTCAGGGTTACTGTCACCCATTGGAAACCCTTGGTACTAAATATACCTCAAAATTAAAATTGCTTTGTACTTTGGAAGGATAAGTTGATGCACACAATACAGTATGTTTTGTAACAGCACTAAAGGGAGTTGGGATAACAACCTATAATCAAAGCCAGTTGTATGTCAGCGAAAAAGATGTGTGAATTCACATTAAAGCAGTATAAAAGCTATAAATAGCCTCACACCAGCTCAGCTAGAGTTTAGCTGCCAACAGAGTTTGCCAAACATGTGAAGGATGTTCCGCATTCTTAACTGTTTGGCCTTCAAAATTGCAGGATTGCAGGTGAGGGATTAAACCCACAAAACACTGTTCACTACAGCATCTTTGTCCAGTCACAGCAGGAGAATACAAAAAACTCAAGCATGTTTATCCTGTCTTTAGGGTGCTAGACAAAGAATAATGTCATTTCCATAAAATACACTAAAAGTGATAGTATAAGTATCTTTGAAAAAAGGGATGAGGTAGGTCTCTGTGGATTGTGAGTTAAATGAATAAAATCAGATGCTGTAGAAGGCAGGGAGGTCTTTGTGTGCCCACAGATAAGTTCTAGGGGAAATTGGAATGTTAAGTACACAGGGTTGTTCCCCCAAAGTAGGGGATGCATAACTTGTTAACCCCTGAAGAAGGTTGGAAGTGAACCTGGTGAATAGCCTGGTCACTGTGGTGGAGACCACACTGGATCTCCCCCTGAGTCTTATCATTAGCTTGTTTTTCTCAGTTAACCTACAGAACCTGTCTTTATGGAAAGTGCCACATGTCCTTTATAGAGATTTTTGCTGTGTGACATAGAATCTTTATTTAGCTTATTTTTTCCCTCATTATTTACATGCCCTTTATTGTACCCACGGGATTGAGTTAATTGTGTTGTGTTTAAATATGCTTAAAATAAACTACTCAGGGTATAAAAAAACAACAGAGACAAGGGAAGACTGTTTTCATAGCTACCTTCGCAGTGTAAAGGTCCCCCCCCCAAAAGATGTTATGGAATGTGAGTTAATCATGACAGTTTCCAGATTTTTATATTCAAAGTGAAGAGGAAGACCGAGGTGAGATAATTTAGTTTAGCCCACCAAAACAAGAGTCAGACCAACCACTCCAAAACAGAGCCACTTGTAAGTGGTGGTGGGACTTGTGGTATAGTCCGGGATGGGTGGCAGGTCACCCTTACCTGGGCCTCAGGGTCAGGCCATCTGAGGGTGCCTGCAGGATTAGGGCCCAGGCTATAGGTCAATAGGGCTTGAGTGAGGTGCTACTGAAGGAATGGCTCTGCTGTGTGTGGATAAGGGCTTGGGATCTGTTGCTGGTGGCTTCTTACTTGAGAAACTCCTGCGTGTGCTCCCTGCTGGGTGGTCTGTTTTCATGTGCACCATGCTGATGATGTGCATTGGCATGACTAGCAGAAGAGAGG